TTTTTTTGTTTTAACTTTTTAAAATTCACTGACTCATACTTTTGGCCTTAATTCTTTTTAATCATTAGTTTTAAACCATCGTCTAAACTTTTTAAATCAATTATACATTGGGTTTTTCTTTTTAATGAGTTAAACCCCACTTCTAGATGATACTTTCATGATAAAGCCAGGTAGAAATATCATTTACATATGTAATAAATGCTATTTAATTTGGCTGGTGAACAAGCAAAAAGACTAAGCTGATACGTGAATTGATTTCTGTATTTATATGCAAGTAATTATACATATTCTGCTTGGCTTAGTAGTCTTTAGAAGCTAGGTTTCTGAAATAGGTTCTGTTAAGCAAGGCAATATCACATTTCCATTCCCTTGTATCTATGCACAAATGAAGGAATTGGGATTGTGATAAATGCTGGACACTTGACTACTCATCAAAGCTTTCTATCTTAGGAGTAAAACTGTGTTCTCCTTACAGAACAATGCCACCCCAAAGGGATTTCAGCTCCACAGAAAATATCCCATCAGTCTTCATATTCTATGATGACATGGTATTTATTTAAATGCAATATATGTAACTATGTGCACATGTTCCTTTTCTCAGAGGTTGAGAGTGCGGTCTTCATTTCAATAGGATTGGTACAGAGATATTCTAAACATGTTAGACCTATACTAACTACAGTGGTTGTGTGTACCTGATGAGTCCCAATAAGGATGTCACACATCCTTAATTAATGTGTAACACAGAAAATAGTTGTAGGATCCAATCTGGGTTGGTTATTGGAACCAAACGTTTAGTCTTCCAAGCTTTCAAGGTTATGTTGGAACATCCTGAAGGAACTTCCTCCTAGCAGAGTGTGTGCTTTGGGCTTTTCTGTGTGTGATATTTATATGGTGTCTGGTTGTGTGTGGCATTTTAGTTATTGATTGTGGTTTTGATGGCCCGCTATTACATCATTGGTTGTTGTTTCCTTGTGCTGCCAAGCCCTCTCTTAAGGGCTGAAATAGTCCATTTCACCCAGAGCGATGGAGTCACGAAATATCCAATATGAGAGTGTGACATAATAACAGTTCTATCTTTCTAGTCTGAGAGTTCATAAAAAGGAAGATAAGTGCTACTCACACAGTTTGCTCCTCAAAACATTCTCCATTTCTCTTCTAGGAGCTCTTAAAAAAAATGTAGATAACAAAAACATTTCATAGAAATACATATTTTGTACAATGTGTCTGCCTCATGTCAGAGTAGATATCATATAACATGCAATTAATATTTTTAAATATTTTATATAAGTACTGCAAAGTAAATGACTAATCACCCACAACTTACCCTGTATTGATTGGCTTCTATTCTAAAACAGGAGTCTCCAAACTTGACAATTTTAAGATACGTGGACGTCAACTCCCAGAATTCTAGGAATTGAAGTCCACAAGTCTTTAAAATTGCCAAATTTGGAGATTCCTGTTCTAAAACATGAAATACATTCTTCTTAGGAGGCTGTTTTGCACAGTGGTTGCAAAAGTAACATTCACAGGAATAAGGAAAAATAACCACATGTAATCTGTGTTTGTATTCTTGTAAGTCTCATGGTGATCCAAAATCATGTGGGGCATTTCTTCCTCTTTTTGTGTGAGAGTGAACAATAGTTCCCAGCAAACACCAACCTACTTTAAGTCTGCCTTAGACAAAAACCAGACCACCATAGCCATATCATCAGCTGTTGTGAATCAGTAGGAGTCAGTTATACTCGTCTAGGCTGTAAATCCCAGCCATCAATCCATATCCTCTCCTCTAAATACCTCCCTTTTTACATGGATCTCATCCCCCAATTTGTTTTACTGTTAAATATTTTCAGGCTAAGAATACAGAGCTGCCTGTCTTTTCCCCAGCACTTCCCAAAATTGCTACCTTATTGCATTTTTTTTTATCATGACAGAATAATTCAGAAGTGACATTGACAATATTCAATTAATTTAAGTGAATTTAAAATCAAATTCCATTTTGTCCTGGCCCCATTCACTTCTTGTCTCCCCACATATCCTTCCCTGTTCTCAGCTCTGCAATTTTACAGCAGAGTTGCAATAAAGGGCCTAGGTTTCAACAGCCAATTTCAGTTCTAAATTAAGAGGAAATAAACATGTGGCAATAAATTGCTATGCTATAAAGCTCCCAAGGCATGTTTCATAAGAATATCTTTTTGTGCAGTCATTAAGGTTTCTGTAGCTAGGGCTACTTGTAATATCTATTTATGTAAGAGAGCAATAGGCAGTTGCACTTGGTTTCACTGTGTATAATGAATATACTCAAACTGCTGATAAATACCAAGTCTAGCCCTACAAAACTTGTTTTATGCCTTGTAAAATCAGGCCCAGGCCATTAAGTTTTGTTAAGAAAAATCCATCTAAACCATCTATTACTAAGCTTTCATTTGCAGAGTTCCTGAGTTGAAGCAGTCCATAAGTGGGTATGCCTGTTTTGAAGCTTAATTGACATTATTATCATGTAAGAAGTTTATTCCTTTACAAAAGAGAAGATTCATGATGGGGGGGTGGAGACAATTAATTGAGCAATCAGAGATAACAGGTACCCATAATAGACCAAATTTAAATATTATGTTTTTATGGAGTCATCTCTTTTTTGTGCATTTTAGCATATTGATATGTTGGTTTTTAAACAAAATATAGTAGAAACATTCCCAATATTTAAACCAGCATACTTCGGAAGAAAATGCTTAAAGTATTTTGCTATTAAATAATTGGGATTTTTTTAAAAAAAACAAACTACAACCTAATACAGGTAGCCCTTGAGTTACAACTACAATTGGGATCAGAATTTCCATTGCTAAGTAAGGTGGATGTTGAGTGCATTGTGCCTGATTTTATAGCCTTTTTTGCCACAGTTGTTAAGTGAATCAGTGTACTTACTAAGTGAATCAGATCATCATTCAACAAATTTGGCTTGCCATTGATTTTGCTTGTTGGAAACCAGCTGGGAAGATCACAAATGGTGATCTTGTTGTCTCCAGGATGCTGCAACCATTATAAAGACATGCTATTTGCCAAATACCCAAATTTTGATCATGTGACTGCTATGGTTATACGTGTGAGGACCAGTTGTAAATCACTTTTTAGTGCTGTCATAACTGTGAATAGTCACTAAACACATGGCTGTTAAGTTGAGGACTACCTGGTGTTTTTCTGATTTCTTCTGAATGCTTTTTGTCTTCCCAGTCTAGTTCCCTTCCTTGTACTAAAACGGGTTTAACCCATTTTAACCAGTCAAAGTCAACCATGTCCTATTACCTAACTGAGCTTTTTAATTATAACTATACAAAAGCAAAACCTGAAACAAAATTGTATGTTTTCAGGTACTGGGAATGTTCTTGGTTTCATCTCTTCATAGAGCTAAAACTGGCTTGTATCATACCAATTTTTAACATTCCTGTGTGAAGTTATATAAGATCACTAACTAAACATTTGGGATCCAAACCCTAATTTTTATAATATACCATATAAAAGATAAAATGCCTTTGCTCGGGTATAAATGCCACTTTGGCAGAATCTTTAAAGTGATTTCTGTTTCTTGGAAATACTGTAGATAGGGCTCTCTATAATATGAAATCTCTAACCATGGGCAAGATCCATGTCTCTTTTGGCCATTTATCTCACAGTAACTGCCCAAAATTGCTAGGCAAGGTCATCTATCACAATCTTGATGAGACTTAAAGACTGTCATCTCAGACTAAACCAGAGACGTTGCTGAGGTTTTAACCAGAATACAGAAGTCCTGAGGGACTAGATGGATTAAAATAAACTCACATTAAATTCGTGCAAGGTAGAGAAGCTAGTTGTGTAATGGGTTGATCTGGCTCACATCTGCCAACAATTTCTATTCTAGATGAGGTCTTACTTCTTCAGAAGGAGCAGGTTTATAACTTGGAGGTTCCGCTGGATGCATTGCTTCTGTCCAACAGATGGAAGCTGTGACCAGGGACACCTTGTCTGGTTGCATTATTTTGACTTCACTTGCAAGCCTTTCACAGACTGGAAAGCTGTTGATGTCAGTGGTGCTTTCCCTAATTTTCTTACATTTGGACTACCAATGCACTTAATGTGACCTGCTCCTGTTAACATCGGTTGCTGCCTGGAGCTGCCAGTGGTCTAAATTTTAATGATTATACATTCTCCTACTGTGTCATGGAAAGACTTTCATATACCTGTAAAATCCTGGGAATTTGAGCCTTATTATATTTCTGTTGTGCCCTAAAATATCAAAAGTATAAAATTTCAAAGGATCACCAGAAAAAAAACTATCCTTGCTGTTTCTTTCTGAGGGCAGCAAACTTATCAGTGATATTTTGGCCAAGATGTTTTCATTCAGACACGGGAGATGTGTAGGTTTCAGTTTTTTAAAAAACTGTTTGTAGATCAGCTTACAACAAATTCAGCAAGGTCACAGAACCTCATTATTTGTTTAGGAAATAATTAGTTTTGCACTGCATTTCTCAGCAGGAAGTTTTTATCAAGCTGGGGAGAGGCTATATCTGGTTCAGGAAGTCACACGTTATGCTGTGCAGGCTTGCTTTTAAGGTGCACACCTAAATGCTGCTTTCTAGATCAGCAAATGTTCTGATTTGAGATAGGTGGGCAGGGTTTCCTTATTACACATGAAAAAATTATCTGCTGCTTTCACAGTTCCTTTCAAATAATGGGTTTTGCTGTTCATGCCACTGATGTGATTATATCCAAGAATGTGCTGCAAGAAGCATTATGAAAAGTATGCTCTAAAAGAAATTTTTAAAAACTGAATAGGCAGCTTATCCACTATATTATTGTCAGTAGCAGCTTATAATAGTTTAACACTGAGAAGAGTTGTTTATAATAGACTTTATTTTTTTTCCCCTGAGTTGTTTTTGCACCCTTAAAATGTATTATTACAATGTTTGGAAAATGCATTGTTAAAAGATGTCCAGAATTTAACTATTCTATGACTTTCTACATTACAGGATCCTATACCTACAGGAATAAATCCTCTGAGAGGTCCCCAAGCTGGAGGAACAGTTCTAACTATCAGTGGCACAAACTTAGCCACAGGTTCTATTGAAGATGTTAGTGTTTACCTTGATGAAGAACCCTGCAGAGTGTAAGTATAAGATCCATGACCTGTTCTTAATATCCCAGCCCACCTACTGCCTTATATACTGTTGAGCCATTTGTATCATGTATTCCAACCTACATTCTGTCAGTAGAACAATTGGTTATCTTGATAACAACATGTTATTAATTCTTTAATTGTATGGTGTTTGTTTTTCAATATTATTCTATTCAGCATTAACACAGGATTAGGAACTACACTCCTAGCATGTCTAACTACTAGCCATTGATGTAAGTGAACTAGGCATGTGAACAAAACGTTCCAAATCTAAAAAATACCAACTTAATGTAATTGCAGCCATCACAGCAACCTGAAATAAATTACCATTGTTAAGTGAGGTTTTCCTGTGTTAATTAAAGAGCCAACATGAAAAGGAATAGGAGTATAGCACCTTCAAAGAAATGGCATCCAGAGTAGAAAATGTCAAAATATGGTGTGGCGTCATGATCCTTGCCTTACCCTTTGGGTTGTTGCATATATAGAAGGGGCAAGATTTAGATCATGATAACATTTTAATTCCTTTGATAATGCCATTAATTAAGAGTAACAGATCAAAATGCCTCTTTATATATAGGCACGCTGTTTTTCTAGTTGCTTATAGGTCCACCATTGAATCTATAATTTTCCAGGCAAGAGCAAAATCAAAAACAAAATAGTTTTAAAGTGCCTCATTTTTATAGTGTGGGACTCTGAAAAAATGGCAGTGGTGATGAGTCATAGCAAAGCCATTTGACAGTAAGGTGAATACACAGGGTTAAAAGATGGAAGTTACAGCTAATTATTTCTAATAGGTGATAAACAGGGGTGATATTTATCACTGCTTTGTGAATTAAAGGTGGAAAATATATTATCTACATAACTTTCAACAGTACAACAATTTGAGGTATTTTGGGTTGTCTGGAAGAGTTCAGTAATAAATTGGTATTATCCACTTCAGAGAGTCCAGTTTGATGGAGGGGAACAGAATTGCTTTGGTTAATATGTCATGCTCAGCCTGTGGAATACTTGAATTGCCCTTCATTGAAAATTAGTTGGTTTGTATTGCTCAAGTAATGTGGTAATTAATCATGTGCTTCAGCCTTAATTAAGGAATATTTGCAATATGAGTGAATCAAGCTTTATCTATTTATCATATTTGTATTCCATCTGGGTGATTCAGGAACAGTTTAGGTTCATTTTAAGTTCTTCTACTTTGTACTTCTTAGATGGTAATCTTGATATCACCTTGCAATTACATGCTTGATTTTAGGAAGGCCTGTACGCTCTCAGTCTAGTATTTTTTTCTGAAAGGCACATAATTGGAGTGCTAATATTGTTGCAGTATTTGAACACCCTCAAAAACTATAATTGAACACAGCATGGGTTATGTTAGCAGATGTTAATGCTGGCATTGAAGACTTGCACACCATGTTGCAACATTAAAATCAAAAGAACTATAGAAATGATTAAATTTGGAAATATAACTTTAAATGCTATCATAAAGATTATGTATAATATATATTATGCACACACATACTTACGTAATATTTCCATGGAGGAGAAAATGTCAGTAAACGTTGTGTATATATTCTGTTATACTGATGTCTTAAATGAGACTTTACAACTTGTGAGCTGGCTTTTTCTCGACAATGTGGCTGGTCAGTTCGAACGTAAAAGGAAATAATATTCTGTGGGTGTTTTTAAATTTATTTTTCCATGCAGAAAAGACATTAGGTCACATTGGCTAAGTAGTGTTATACAGTATGATGTAGTGTAATATATTATAGATGTAGTATAAAAAAGACAACTTCCCATGAAACACTTAAAGGACCATAGTTAGGGCAATTCTCAAGCATCTCAATTGGAAGAGAGAAGATTGAAATGGTATAATGAATGAATGAATGAATTTATGAATGAATGAATGAATGAAACCATAGAAAAGGCCATGCTGAAACTGGCCTTTATTTATGTTGAAATAACTTCTATCTATGATACTGGCATTTTCTTTAAAAAAAAAAAAAGATATCCCAGTATTATTGAACAACGTGCTGATAGTAGAATCATAAGTCACTTCTTTAGGCATTTCTAAGAAAGATGATTTAGATATGCAAAAGCCAGAGCAGAAACTTGCACACATCATTAATGCTCACCCGTTCTTAATTGGTAATATTTTTTCCTAACTAAAAAAGAAGCATTTTTGAAATCCTCTCCCTATCACACTGAGCAAAATTATTATAATCTAATAGTAAAGCTAAATCCCAGGCTACATTGGACTGAATCAAATATCCGGAAAGCCAAATTGTAGAGTACTGCTGTGTTCTCTTCCCCCACAATAGGACACCTGTTTGGGTGGTGAAGGTGGTTTCTCAGGCAACTGATTTTCCTAATTCACTCTTTCTTTTTGAAACTCCTCCTTTCCTTTATCTAGATGTGAAATTCGAAATAGTGATGTCTTAATAAACTTGATAAAATAAGTTGTTTGATTATTTTTTTCCCCTTTGCCCTACTCTTAAATAGTATCACATTTGGGCAAGAAATCGTTTGTATTACTGGACCAAGCAACAAGAAGCTACCTGTTTCTGTAACTTTACAGCACGGAAATACCAAAAAAGAAATACAGAATGTACAATTTACCTACAGTGAAAATCCTACCGTTAGCAAGATCACCCCTGAAGTCAGCATTCGGAGGTAATAAAATGGTTCTGTTATAAAGATTTGTTCAGGTTTAATGAGATTTTTTCCCCCAGTGTAATTATTAGATAACTACTACTTTAGGTCTTGGCAGTCATAATAAATGTAACATAATTGCATCTTTCTTCTAAAATAAAAGTCATCAACTTCAGGTAAGGTAAATGTTTTCATCCATTTAAGAATTAATGAAAAAATTATCAGGCGCTTGTGTGACTGCTTATTTCATCTAAAAAAATTTAAATTATTGATTTACAAAATTAAAGGAAAACATTCAACGTGATCTTTAATATAGGAAGCTGTTTAAACTGTGTTAAACATTGGCCTATAGCAGTGTTTCTCAACCTTGACAATTTTAAGGCATGTGGACTTGAACTCCCAGAATTCCACAGCCAGCATTGCTGGCTGTGGAATTCTGGGAGTTGAAGTCCACATGCCTTAAAATTGTCAAGGTTGAGAAACACTGGCCTATAGGGTTCAATTCTGTTTATGCTAGATAACACTTCAGGCTAGTGCAGTGCTCCTCAGCATTGGCAATTCTAAAACGTGTGGATTTCAACTCCCAGAATTCCTCAGCTAGCATGGGGAATTCTGGGAGTTCAAGTCCACACATTTTACAGTTGCTAAAGTTGAGAAACAGTGTTCTTGAATTTTTATGTTATATCTGGAGACCAAACACAGAACTATGTGTGAAAATCAAAAATAAATTTCTTAATTTATTTAAGAAATATAACTTGTCCATAAGGTTTACATGGCTGTTTTAAATTTTCTGCTTCACAGTTTCGAGTTTATTTTTCTGATTAGTGATAACTCAGGATTGTTGCTGGATAATATAATAAAAACAAAACAACGCTATGCAGACCAAGAGCAACTGAGAAGCAGGGACACAAACCATAGTTAATATGTCATTCTAGTGTCTTTCCAATCAGTTGAACTCTACACCATGCATTTATAGCTATAGCTTTTTAGTTTCTTGAAGGAATCTCTGCTTGTTTTAGCAGTGGTGATATTAAACTTAGTAAACTGTTAAACTATTAAACCTAATAAACCAGGTTATGATATCATATGTGGGGGGGAAACAGTCATAATTTATTTTTTAGTAATGTTATTGAGTTTCTGTCACAAGAAAAAGCAATGTCATCATTAATTCTCTTTGATGGTACAGATATTTTTTAAAAGAAAGATGTGTGATAAAATAACATACCTAAAAACTAAGACTACATTTAATGATTCTCTTCTGTTATCTACAAACAAGATTCAGTTTAGAATAAAAGCAAGGTAGGCATTTTCAAATATCTGTCTAAAATCAGAAAACATGTGATTTCTAATTTTATGTATTTTAGTGGAGGACGAAATATTACTGTACTTGGTGCTGGGTTTGATATCATTCAGAAATTCTCTGTGGAAGTTAAATTCAAGCCTTTTACAGATATATCATCAAGGAGAAGGAGGAGGAGACAAACAGAGAGGCATCAAAAGGTATTACGTACCCTTTGTTTCAAAATACAGTCTAGCTATGGGTTAGGCAATAGCAACAGCACTTACGACTGGTATACTGCTCAGTAGTGCTTTACAGCAGGGCTTTTTAATCTTTTCACAGATTGTGACACTTTTAGGACATGAAAATATTTGAGTACCACCAGTGCTTAGCAAGATGTCAAAAACTTGATGACTAAAAAAAGGGAGGGATTTTGGGTTTTACTGATTAGATTCATTTGTTGTTATAGAAATGGCTAGTTAATAATATTATAGAAAAGTAAAAAGTTGAGGTTCAATGTTAATGCTTCCTTCTACTGCAACAGAGGAAGTCTGTTTTTATTCCCTTCTCCCCCTCACTTTTTTCCTCCTTTTCCTCCCCACTGTATCCTACTATTTGCTTTTATATTTTTGTATTTTATTCTATAATCTAATAAAATATTACAAACTGTAGAAAAAAGTGAAAAAGTACTGTTTTAAGTTCTTTGGTGGCTGTTCCTTTGCTGAATCACTTTGCCTTTCCATTGACAAATGTATGATGAATTTATCCATGTTTATTAATATGCACCACTACCAGCTAGCTCAGGGGTCTTCAAACTTGGTACTTTTAAGACTTGTAGACTTCAACTCACAGAATTCCTCAGCTATCATGGCTGATTGAGGAATTCTGGGAGTTGAAGTCCACAGGTCTTAAAGTTGCTAAATTTGTAGACCTCTGAGCTAGCTGGTAGGTCCTTCTTCCTCTCTCCCTCTCCTCTTCTTCCTCTCTGCCTTCTGAGCTCTCCTTCCACAGTGTAGTAAGAATGCACTTCCCCCAGTCCCTTCCCTCTATCCTTAAAGACACAGGAATCAAGCACAAAGCAAGAAAGGCTCACAAAAGCCTCCCAGAATAAAGAAACACTAAACTCCAGGAGGTTTTTTTTCCCCTTTAAGCAGCCTCAGGTGTGTCTCAGTTTAAACAATGTAGCAAAGGCTCGGCAATTGTGAAAAGCGATAACCTTAAATTAAGCCTGTTTACCTACAAAGAAGACTTGCTAAAAGCCATAGACAGACTCAAGATAAGGGGGTAAAACCAATTACATTTGTTTAAAGGAATTAAACCTATGGAAGTCAACACTTTGGACTCATTGCTAGCCTTTGTGAAACAGACTAAGATATTCCAATAACCAAAGCACACAATCCGAGCCTCTGAATTACAAAATGCTGTGAAAACTGTATAAAAATCCTTATGGTAATCCATTCAAGCTGCCAGCTGGACAAGAACCCACTGGCTTCCGAAATAAATCCACCTCCTTTCCAACATACTCGTTTCCTGGCTTTTCATTTCATCAGTGCTGATTACACAGCTTCTTCCTTCTTCTCTGTCCCCTTCTCTTTCCCTGTTGTCTTTTTTTTCCCCTTTCCCCGCCAAAAACACCTCCTTTTATATCCTCTCCTCTCCTCCCCCCCACCTTTTTTTCTAGTTCACCTCCAGCTCCACACTGCTTCCGAAAGCACCAATCAGCTGGAGCCCTGTTGAAAGCAACCAAAATAAAACAACCAAGTAATTGAAAGATTACAAATAACATATATTAAAATGATATTGAGAATAGAAAAATAATTGAAATTGTATGTCCTAATGTTTCAACCATTTTATAAAATTCATGATAATATATTTATGTTGCAGTTTTGAGGATAATTTTTTTTCCTAAATAAACTTTTAAGGAATTACATTTTATCACATCTTAAAGATATTTAGCTATTAGTAGATATTTAGTCCAAGTAGATATTCAGTCCAAAAAAACATTGATTTAGTAGGAATATCTTATCAAAAATCATTTCTAAAATTCAAACATTCACTCTGTATAAGGCGGTGAAAATTATACCAATTGTAATTCTTTTTTCATCATGACATGCATTTTTCAGCTACTGTAAAACACCTGCAGATATTGCAGACTTTTAAAAACTACAATAAAAATACACTAAAATTTATGAGATTGTTTGATGGCTTATAGTACTGATTTCCTTTTCAGATAAAAAATATATAATTTGTAAATAGTAACGGGCAATATTCTTTTCCTTTTGTTTTTCTTTAGTTTGAAGGAAAGACCATCTCAAAAATCAATGATACTGCATTAGTCTTCTTATCTCCACCAGTACTAGAGGATCCAGAACATTATCAAATTTTTATACTTATTAAAATGGATGGTCATGTGGTGGAGCGTCAAGACTTTCAGTATGTTGCTGATCCAACTTTTGAAAACTTTACTGATGGAGTCAAAAAACAAGTCAACAAACTTATTCATGCAAAGGTAAATCTATTAGGAAATTATTGATTTTTACGTTATGTGCTTGATTTTTCTATTATGATCTAGGATTTTTTCAATAAATTTATCCTGATACTTTTTGATAATTTCCTGGTCTTACAAGAATAGCTGAGTAAGCAAACAATAGTTTATAAACAAGATCAAGCTTAGTCACAGACCCTAGTACTGTGGTGCGAAACTATGGCACGCTTGCCACAGGTGGCACACAGAGCCGTCTCTGTGGGCACACGAGCTGTCACCCCAGTCCTAGGCCTTCAGCTGGGTTTTATAAAACCTTTTCATTTTAGGCCTTTGCCACTGTGTGCAAAAAAAAAAAAGGTTCAATCAATCAATCAATTTCAACCTCACGGGAAAAAAAAGATCTCACAAAGTTGGAATAGATTGACTGAACTTTTTAGTTCCACCCAGTTTGCCGTTACCACTGCAACCACGCCCACCCAATGGCCCATGCCCACCTGGCACCCGACGCTATATAAGTGGGTTTTGGGTTGCAGTTTGGGCACTCGGTCTCTAAAAGGTTCGCCATCACTGCCCTAGTATATCAACTGCATTGAGTATCTTGACTTAATAAACTTAGCCCTTGTCTTTATGATAGACATGTTTTGATCTTGAAATGTTTCTTTTCTCTTGCTCCTTGCACCAATAAACCCTACTTTAAAAATATTTAAATTAGCAAATAGCTAAAGTGGCTGGTTTAATTTTTCTATCTAGGGTAGTAATCTGAACAAAGCTATGACAATCGATGAGGCTCGTGCATTTGTAGGAGAAGAACCCTGCAACATAACAACTCTAACTGAAAAAGATTTATATTGTGAACCACCTGAAGATCAACCTCTACCCAAGCGGAGGCAAAAAAGGGATACAGTCAACAACCTTCCAGAATTCATCGTAGGTCACATTTTTCTATATTTTTTAGCAATATGATATAGAAATTTAATACAAAAACTTGCAATTATGAATAATTTTGACTTTCTCTTAAAGTTTATTCAACAAGAATCCTAATTACATTTGCTATTACCTATTTTCAACAAAATACAAGGAAACAATTGCCTTTCTTTGCCTAAACCTCCTACAATTGAGATTTACAGATTTTCAGATTCCCAATCAGCAAGTTCATGATGACTCAGAATTCTGGAGGATTTTAATTTGGGCAAGGTTTCTATAGGCTAAGATTTTGGCTTGTATTCATTAACATTAACATTTGCCTCAGTGAAACAGAATGGCATCCTAGGACTCTTCAATCACATAGCAAAGTGTGAATTTAGCAGGCATCTCATCTGGACAATTCATGTCAAGCCAAGCTGACAAATGGTGACCATAATAAAATTTAAATTTGAGAGTGCAACAGTCTGTCTGGATTCATTCATAGCATTAAGCATAGGATGATCTGTTCAATGTTAGTACTGTATGCTGCCATTGTGATTTATAAACTACAGTTTCTGCTTAATGCATGTGATAATTAGTCCAGTTTGCTATGTTCAACAAATCATGTTTAGCACCAAATATTGTTTAGTCTTTTGTTATTATTGTCTTTTATACATTGGATTATCCAGTTAACCTTCTGGGGGACCATTTTCTCTATGTGAACTTGCCCACCAAATGCCATTTATATGGACATGACCATTGTCTCATAATCTGCTCATTCTGGTAGTCCACTTTCAAAAGTTATTCTCATATTTTTTGCTTTTCTAGTTTAGGATATATTTAAAATTTGTCACAGTCTTAAATGGTCCATCATTTTTAATTCATTTGCTCATAAAACTTTCATACTGCTTCATTTGCAATTTGCTCCTAGTAGTTTTGGTAAATCTAAACAGATCTGTTTAAATTCTCTCTTTGACGTTGTTAATTGATTTAATGTTCTTGTTTATTCTTGTTTTAAATGGAAACTGTTTTAAGTGCCCTGAAAGAGCTGAAAGTTGGATTGAAATGTCCGTTTGTTGCTAACAGTGGGCATTATTATCATTTAAAAAACCATTATGATTTGAACTAAATTCAACATGTGTTTCTATATTTCTTATGTATGGGTCATATTCTGTTTCAGTAATTATTGCCACATGTGGGTTTTCCAGATTATCTTGCCAAAACTGGTGCATTTCAGTTATGTTGGGGCCATTTCTCCAAAACTGTTGCCTACACTGGCTGGTGATTCTGAAGATTTAATCCCAATACATCTGGAATATGAATTGCATACACCAATGAGCTTCTCTTATTTTGATTCTTTTAAATTGCCAGACTGGCATATAACTAAGCATTGAATGCTTAGCAAAATCTGTTTTTAAGAATTGCAATTATTTCCCTAGGTAAAATTTGGCTTCAAAGAATGGGTCCTAGGAAGAGTGGAGTATGCTCAAGTCAGTGATGTGCCACTGAGTCTGATCTTGACATTGGTAATTATCCCCATGGTGGCCATTATCATCATCTCAGTCATTTGCTACAGGTAAGTTTTTATTGTCATCAGCTGTTGTGCAAATAATAAAGGCAAAACTGATTTTCTGAGAAAAATGTGGGAAGAATCTAAGCAGACAAGGCTTTCTTTCTTCCCCAAACTCCTCACGGCAGCTACAAAATTTACTCTAAGGATTTAAGGGACAATCCAGAATAGATATGGGAGCTTTTCTTAACTGACCATTTTCTGACCATATCATAATAAATTGTGTGGGAGGAAGCAAGATAACCTCTTGTTATATATCTTTGCAAGGCAGCTTGTTTTCATTCACATCATACTAAAAATAATGAAAGGCAGGCTTTGGTTTTTTCCTGCAAGGAACTATCCATAAAAGAAAATGTACAACATATTACTTGGAAGATATATGTGAATTCTATAGTTACGGTATTGGATTCATCCACTCCTGTTCTCAGGGAGTTTTGCTAAAAACATCTGTATTAATTTTTGTTCCTTGATAATGTTTATTTCAATGAATAAAAAATATTTTAGGCATCACAATTCTTGCATATTAATCATAGTGCAGACATTTTCATGATTTCAGTGTACACACACATACTCCATGGATTACTTCCAAAGTGTCTTTTCCATATCACAATTTTTAACATCCATGTGCTAAAAATTGTATTATTTTCTCTCTGGTCTTGATAGATTCGTAGAAAAAAATATATATTTAGGGGGAAAAAGATGAAAGCATGAAATGATATTTTCATATGTCTATGTATTAAAAAGTCAAATTAATCTGGTTGTTAAAATACATATTGGTTAAAATATCACTGAATATAGATTAAATTCATAAACAAGTTTGATAAAAGTTAGAAATGATTATAACTCAAACAATAATGTACTTTTGAATAAATATAATATTAAACACTTGCATACTTTATATTCTATGCATTTATTTTATAGCTTAAGATAAAATGTACTTCTAAAGATACCTTTACTCTTGTAAAATGATTTATTTTTACACTTTGTAACTTTTCTGAACTTCTTCTTTATTCCTTATAGACGAAAAAGCCAACAAGCAGAACGAGAATACGAAAAAATTAAATCACAACTTGAAGGCTTGGAAGAAAGCGTCAGAGATCGGTGCAAAAAGGAATTTACAGGTGTGACGGATGCTGGATTTCTTAGGGTCTCCAGAGAATTCACAAGATGTATTGAATGTCTACTACTGTCTGCTTTAAACTGTCTTTAGAGAACCTGCAGGAAGCAAAAACATATTTGATTACTACGTTAAATTAAGTATGGCTTACTCGTCTGGCAAATGATCCAAAAGCGATCCATAAAAAGATAATGTGTTTTTAAACATTAACTGTGTTTTGAAGTAGAAATAAAATAGTACATATCAGGAACTAAATCATTGATAATAAAATCCTCAAGATGTTTCTCTTAGGACATAGTAAATCAGTTTTTATTTCAACAGAAAATGGATTGATATTTGAAAGTTATGCTCCTGTTGTCTAAAGGAGAAAAAGTAAAATCTCTGTAGAAACAAGTCCAGTTACTAGTGATTCATGGACTCATCCAAGTAGGTTTCGTTGCAACAATGAAGGTTTGTCATTGCTGCCTTCTGGGATTTTTTTCCAGTCTATTAACTGCCATAGTATTTCCTAGTCATTTTCCATGTAAGTACTAACAAAGTCTGTACCTGCTTAGCCTTTTGAGGCCAGACAAGGCTGACCAGCTTCACAACTAACTTCTCAGCTGGATAGAGAGGGTTCCAAATATAATTTAATTTGTAGAAGTTTATTGGAATTTTGGACTGCAGAAAAAATCTGATAAAATAGAACCAATAATAGAAATTATTTTTGGTTAGTACTTACATGGAAAATGATCAGGAAATACTAAGGCATTTAATAGACTGGAACACTGAAAACATATCCCAGGAGGCAGCAATGACAAGCTGTTATGAAAGAAGCATCTCTTTACTCAATATATTGTATCTTATGTTAATAAAATCCTATTCATATATCTAAGATAGCAGTCAAAATAGAAATATGTTATCAATCCAGTTTTCAACAAGATTTAAGGAATGCAGCCTGGGTCACTTTTAGGCATATGGTGTTCATGTCAATTTAACACTCCACAATCTGGAAGTGACTTATCTGAAAGCTTCATTTTGTAAGAATTTTAGACATACTGATTTCACAGTTCTGGAATTCCAAGATGTACACATCTGTCTTGAATCTATTATGCTCATTATACATTCAAGCTGGCATATTTTGAAACAGGCAAGAAATTCTCACCTCTTTGACTCATGGATACCATCTATGATATTCATATGCTGGTTCTTTGCTGATAGTTCAAACTCATGTTTATGAGTTTGAGGAAATCATACTGTTGATTTAATTTGACACTGTGCTGCACCCTTAGCAATGACTTCAGCTTACCTAAAGCCATTAAATTGTCATAGGCCATAAGATCATTTTTGGCTTCCAAGAATAGCCCTCAGTCATTTGGAGGCTGGCCTAGATAGAAGCAGTGTGTAAGTACCAAATCCCAGTTTGATTTATTACACAAGTAGAGCCAAAACTCATGTTGTGTATTACACTGAAGTCAGTTTTTTGTTTAGCATAAGGTGCCTAACTGTGTTTTGCCTAACACAGACAGCATGCCAATATATTGCCTTTAATCCTTGCTAATTCTGTCTAGTTTCTGCTCTTTGCCTTGAAATTACTTTTCTTCTTTCATTTTTTTTGTTTCCACTGATTATTCAGTTCTACTATCTAGTTCTTTGTTAATAGATAACTACATTTGAAGTGCTACTAGCCAGGAATCTTAGAATCTTTTACAGATGCTAAATTGCTCACTGAGCAGTCAAATTCTTATTTTTTTAACTGCTATAGTCAACAGAAATTTCTGAGATAGCAGGTTATTAGATTAATTAACTTGGAGATCTTGTTAGCAATGCAGACATCTTCTATATAAGTGGACAAAGTAATTATCCCCTATGTCAAATTTAAAGGAAATTGGATGGACCTAATGTGTTTTCTCTGATCTTTGTTAAATCATAAATATCAGTCTTAGACCTCTAACATACATAAAATTTATACTAAAATTAACATTTATTAATATAACAGAATTATGGAAACAGCACCCATGCAGCTTGCAGTGTTTCTCAACCTTGACAATTTTAAGGTATGTGGACTTCAACTCCCAGAATTCCACAGCCAGCAGTGCTGGCTGTGGAATTCTGGGAGTTGAAGTCCACATGCCTTAAAATTGTCAAGATTGAGAAACACTGAGCTAGACTTTTTTTGTCTTACATGCTTTCAGTTATCTGCAATATTTCAGAGAAAAGTATGTTTACTTGTGAAAAAAAAAGGAAAGAGAATTCACCCTTGGATTCTAATTTCTTCTTTTCCTATAATAGGTCAAAACTAATATTTACAATAAATAGTATTTGAGACACACATCACAATTCTTAAGGGAGACGTTTTTCTTTATAATCACTATATTGTATAGCCCCCTGTGTGTGCTTGTTATAGAAAAGCCAAGAGGTTTTCCTTGGTTTCTCATAATGTTAGATTTTTCCTCTCTCTATATATAAATATAAATATAAATGTATGTATATGATGTGCATGTATGTATGTAAATAAATACATATGCACAAAGTTCTCAACTTACAACCATTCATTTAGTGACCATTTGAAGTTACAATGGCACTGAAAAAATGTGACTTCCAACCAGATGACATGATCAAAATTTGGGCATGTGGCAACTGGCAGGTATTTATAGTAATTGAAAGACTAGAATCATGTGATTGCCATTTGCGACCTTCCCAGCCAGTTTCTGATAAGCAAAGTCAATGGCAGAAGCCAGATTCACTTAATGGCTGCATAATAAACTTAACAATTGCAATGATTCATTTAATAACTGTGGCAAAAAATCATTTTAAAATTAGGTGTAATTCACTTAACCACCTTGATTAGCAACAGAAGTTCTGGTCCCAATTATGTTGTAAGATAAGGACTATTTAATATATGTATTAAACGCCTATAGTGCATTTGAAATGCAGATTGAGAGATCGCTCCAAAATGAGAGAGGGGGGGAGAGATAGGGGGCAGAGACAGCTTGACAGACATCCCCCAGGCACTCGTACATGCACTAGAAAAGTAATAGAGGATCTGGGCATAACCACCGGGTCCATCAACAGGCTGTCGCATGTGAATCAATTTAGCACGTTGCAGATTAATACAACTAATTACGATTACGCGCTCGAGAAGCCGGGCGCAGAGACAGGTAGCTATATAGGCAAGTTACCTAATCACCTAGCATTCCAACCCTGATGACGTCGGCAGTTGGGCTGATGAAAGCTTGGTAACTCTTTTATTTACAAACTTGTTTGTATTAAACAGGTTTGTTTTACTTTTGTCCTGGTGTTCATTTTTTCTATATTTTATTGATATATGTTTTCTGAGGTTTTCACGGGTGTTTGTATTGTCTTTGGTTATTCGGGTTTTTCTCCCACGTCAAATTGGAAGTGTCTCCCATACATAAAAGGCACCACAGACAGAATCAGCAAGATCCTCAACAAACACAACATCAAGACAGCATTCTGCACAAACAGAAAAATATCCACCATCCTAAGAAACCCCAAAGACAAAATTGAGTTAGAAAATCAAGGAGTATATGAAATCCCATGCACCGCTTGTCCCACCACATACATTGGACAACCCAACAGAAGAATAAGTGCACACATTGAAGAACATAAGAACTCAGTCAAAAAAGAAGAACCAACTTCTTCCCTGGTCCAACACCTTAAAGCCACAGGACATGAAATTGACTTTAAAAATACCAGAACTATCACCAAAACTGAACACTTTAATAACAGAATAATCAGAGAAGCCATCGAGATAGAAAATGCCCACACATGAAAACGCCAACAGCATGAATAAACAAGATGATAACTCCCGCCTACCAGCCATTTGGAAACCTGCCCTTATTGACAAATGAGTCCTTAACACAAAAAATGACACCAGACCCACACTCACGAAAACCACACAGGATGTCACCACCACATATCCACGCAAAAAACAGACCCAAACCCAACCGATGATGAGGCACGACCACAAACCAGAAGCCAGACCACAGCTGCATCATTAGCCACTTTAAACTCCTTCAATCCATACATGAAGCAAACTGACACCCACCATGAAGATGAGGCACGACCACGAACGCAAAGCCAAACAACAGCAATGCAGCTCACCATCTCAAATCCCCCTGAAACTCAGACTAATCTGAGCACAACAAAGCCCCCACCCAAACAGAACATTCTCCCATCCAATCAGAGCACAGCCAGCCCCCTATCCAATCAGAGCGCAGCCAAGCCCCTAACCAATCAGAACAACCTCCACCCAATCAGAACACAGCCAAGCTCCCATCCAATCAGTTCATACTCCCACTAGCAGTTAAAAGGAAGAAAAAGCTACGATCACACATTGCTCCTAGAAGCAAGAAGCTGAAAACACCAGCCTGAAGGTGACGAATGGGACTTCGTCTAAACGTCGCCAAGACACTTCCAATTTGATGCGGGAGAAAACCCGAATAACCAAAGACCTACACACACACACACACACACACACACATATATCAACCCCAATCTAAGCGTTTTGCAGGCTCAAGTCGCTACTGCGATGGACTATTTCTGTAAATTTAGATTATTTTTTTGTCTCCCTTTAAGTCTTTGTCGGCAAAAAAAAATCTATGTGCGCTAAATTTTTTTGGATTGCTAACAAAGAGTTAAAGGGAGACTGGGATAGCTATTTCAAGTTAATTAGCTCTCATCAGCCAGCCATACCCTTTTGAGATTCGAACTGTTCCATCAAGAATCTGAAAATCTCACCAATTCTCTATTGTCACCACATGGTTTCTTCTATGTTTATACAGCAAAACATTGAACAATAAAGAAATCACAGAACCTGTTCTTACTCCCTAGTGCTAAGGCTGAACCATTACCTTAAATGTTCTAATTATTCTCATCCATGCTTTAGTTTTATTATATACAGTACCACTCAGCAAACAATCTTCAGGTATATAGTATTCAGTAATTCAGGTTTCTTCACTTTATTATATACTTTTTCTAATTTACAGTGTACAGGATATTGTCATTCATTCATACATTTCTCACTGACCTGCTAAAGAGCAAAATGGAATACCCTATGAAAGATGTTTTTTTTCATTCTCAATTAATATTTATAATACTTATTTTAGTTCCACCCTTTAAGAAACCAGTAATTGCCAGATGAATGTTTAAAATAATTATTCCAACACTCATCACATCAGCTTCATTCCAAATCATTTCATAATTTTTATATAAATTTGTTTAACTGTATTACAAACTACTTGTTTAGTCCTCTCCGCTTATTTCTAAACCAGTTTTTCTTATTTTCATCAAAATGAAAGTGTAAAATTCTACACTTTATCTGCCTGTTTCAGTCTTCTGCTCCTTGGTGTTTGTCTAAATTTTTTGTAACTCTTTTATACAGTATCTTTTTCTTATTTTTATTTGCAGCAAACTTTTCTTACATGCGTTTTTCTCATCTATTGCCTCTTTCATTTTACTATTCCAGCAAGCACCCTTATTCATACTTTTCACTAAGATAACTTGGGAGCTTTATAATATAACTATTTTTCATTTGTTCCAAGCAGCTCCACGTCCTTTTTCATTACTTTACATTTGTACAGCACATCTCTGCTGGAAATGATATGTAATAAAGCATCAAAGGATGATCCTTAAGAGAGCTAAATCATTTTTGTGTTTAAAAATCAATTACAAATCTTGGAGCTGAACACTCATCACTGAAATGACCTAAGCCATAGTTTCCCTAGTTTTCTAAACCAGTGGCCCCCAACCTTTTGGGCACCAGGAACCAGTTCTGTGGAGAGAGGTTTTTCCATGAACTGGAGGGAGCATGGTTTGATGTGCTGCCTGCATCCCACAAAAGGGGCTTCGCTTGATTTGTACAGCCCGGTTTCTGGCATGACATGGACTGGTGCCAGTCAATAAACCAAGGGTTGGGGACCCTTGTTCTAAACAACTTGGAAAAAATACCAGTGTAAATCTAGCATGACTTGAATCCCTCAAAACCAGTATTTTGGGGTAAGATATTTGGGGTTTTTGGAATGATGTAGTGGTTAAGGTTAGGGTTAGAAGCCAGGAGATTGTGAGTTCCATTCCTGTCTTATGCATGAAAGCCAACTAGGTGATTTTGGGCAGTCACACTCTCTCAGCCCTACTCTCCTCACAAGGTATTAGGTATGTTCACTGCCTTGAGTTACTTATAAAATACTAAAGAGTAAGATAAAAATCAAATAATAAAAATGGTTTTATAACAATATTACTATTTTTCCCCAGCACTCATTTCTCACTTTCTATTACAGTCTAATACAAGCTGAAAGAAGCTATCCAATTTTTTAAAAAATAGTTCAATATGTTTACAGTGTAATGTGGAGCTGCTTTTTCTTTTCTTTTTCGTTAGTTCATTTAATGGTAGATTCATTCTGAGACTTACAATGCATTTGAAGGAAATTTAATCTTTCTCCCCCAAGGACTGTTTTAGAAAATTCATCTATTGAATATATACTCCTTTAACATTTAATCGGTGCCAACTAAGTTTTTTTTTCAAAGTGAAGAAATAACAACAATACACACAAAAGAAGGTTTATATATTTCCCAAACAAAGGGGAAAAAAGATTAGATTCCCATACTGCCGTGGTAATTTCAATTTCAGGTTGGCATTCATGCACATTCATGCAACATATTATATTGTTTTGCTTTTCAATGAAAAATAGCTACGTATCTAACATACTGAGTTGTTTGTCCCTGTCCCAAAGCAAGAGTGAGGAAAAACATGATTGATTTTTATTATTACACTGTTATGTGTTTGTGGGAACAGGATCAGCTCAATGTCCCTGATGATGGATACCCTCACTTTTCACTAGTTGGGCACTGTGAGCAGTGTTTTTAAGATTGTACTGAAAAGGACAGTGCTAGTATGTTCCAGTCCTCTTCCAATCTCATCTCCAAAGCCAAAGCAAGAGAAAGTCAGAGGCAGCAAGAATTCTTTACTGTCTTTTTCTTTGGTAACATAATAGAGCTAAGCCGGACTGCAGCAGCAAGATGAGACCATTACTTTCCTATAGACAAATAAAAGTTCAAGGACCTTTTGTTGGTAGATTGTAATTAAGAACCAATTCCACTTTGTGGATAGAGAATATGACCTGGGAGATTTGGATTCATTCTGATCTAATTAACACAAAAATATCCTAGTCTCAGTGGGCTATGTGTATATGAATGCAGAGCTGTACAACCTCAAGCTCTTTGTCCTCTCTCCCCCTGCAGAAAAATCTTGTTTACAGCCTTCAGATACCATTAAAGGTTCACACCGAATTATAATTTTCATGTGACAGATGGTGAAAATTATTAAATGCATGAACTAGAGATTAATCAAATTAGCCACATTTAATTTCAATTAAATTTACATATCAGTGTAATGAAATCAATTTTTGTCCTTGCCCTACACATTATTTTTGTAATGCAGCCCTCAGGATAGCCCCCCAAAGTGTCAGCAAGAAAAACAACTAGAGCTAGTAGAGAAAGAGAGTTTTCTCTTGCAATGATTTCATTCTAAGATCAGAATGGTGACTATGTTTATTCAAAAGTAATTGTAATCTGAATCAGTCATTCACAAATGTGTTTAAAAACCAAAACTCCTATTTACTTGTTGGTTGTAAGTATTGTTGTAATAAGTTAAGAAAATTTTCAATTAAAGCATTTTAATATTTTGCTCAGGGTAGCAATAATTGAATTAATAATATTATTTTCTCCTAAAGCTTTAAAATTGTTTCCTGTTGCAGATTTAATGATAGAAATGGAGGATCAGACAAATGACATCAATGAAGCACGAATTCCAGTGCTCGACTACAAAACCTATACAGACAGAGTCTTCTTTCTGCCCTCTAAGGACGGAGAAAAGGATGTAATGATCACTGGGAAATTGGACATTCCTGAAGCCAGACGACCAACCGTAGAACAGGCATTGAATCAGTTCTCCAATCTGCTCAACAGTAAATCATTCCTCATTAATGTGAGTAGAAAATAAAGGTCAACTTTTATGTTGCTAAAAAGCATTTTCATTTGATACATCTGTTTATAACAATAATAAATTAATTTGCATATTTTGTGTCCGGAACATCTTGTAAAGCTGTGTATGTGATGTATAATAGCATCTTACATAATTTTGTTCCTGTACCTGTCATCTGTGGAAGAATGGTATTCACTGGAAATACTATTAGCTAGTATCCATTACATTCATTATATATTATGCCAACCATGAAATGCACCCTTTACGTACATATTCAGGGGTATCTATGAAAGGTCAACAGCATCAACCGTGGTGGGAGCAACTGTCAAATGAAGCCTCACTACCCCTTTTAAAGATGTATCAGACAATGCATCAGTTGTCCCTGTTATTTTGATGCTGCTGACCTGCCCTGTTGGCACTCCTGTTTAATATATGCCAGGGATCAAATTAACCAAAACTAAAGCATAAACAGAGTCCTGAACATGTGCACAAAATTGTTGCAAATGATAAACTGAATGCAAAAAAGGTGCATTGAACAAAGTCCTCAGTTTATCTGGCCAGAACCACAAAAACTATATTCAATACTTCTGGAATGTATTGTATCCCAATTTTTATCCCATTATACTGTGTTTCCAGAATGAACAATAAAAAGAATAAGCCTCAACTGTTTCATTTTCATATATCTGTTTTTGTTGTTGTTGTTTCTGTTTAGTTCATTCACACGTTGGAAAACCAAAAGGAATTTTCTGCCCGTGCAAAAGTATATTTTGCATCTCTTTTGACCGTGGCTTTGCATGGGAAGCTAGAATACTATACTGACATCATGAGGACATTGTTTTTGGAACTTATGGAGCAGTATGTTGTGGCCAAAAATCCCAAACTGATGCTCCGAAGGTAGGGAAGGTTTCTTCAGTAATCTAGTACAATGGGAGTTGCCCCTTTAAATTCTCATTTCCTTGGTTTTTTAAAATCTTTACATACCTCAATGAGTACACAGTGCAATCCCAAAAATGCAAAGGCTTGCTTTTATATATTAGGCAGGTCCAGTATGTTTTGTTGTCCAAGATAAGATGGATAGCCGGCTTTCCTGCCCACTTCATTCCTCTTATGGAGAAACCAAATAACCAGTTGTCTTGCTCCAGTGGTGATGATGAGATGCACCCAACATTTCATCTGAGTGCAGTTAACTAGCTTGGGAGCCACAGGCAAGCACTGTTAAAACAGATTTCTAACTTTTCAAATAAGCAACTAAGGTGTCAGCTTGAGACAACTGCAAAAATCTGGCCATTCGTCATTAATTAGAATTTAAAGAGTAGCAACATTTAGTTATGAAAGTAAAAGTAAAGTCTCTGATTCTTTACAAAGGCCATATTATAGAATCTTGTCTTTTTTAAAAGTTATGCCATATTGAACAGGTATATATAATTTATTTACTTTCTTTTTTTTAATAATTTTTTATTTTTCCAAACTCTCCCCCATACATATACCGTGATATTTATCAGATGTTAACATACATTCTTTTTACATTCATATATAAGATACTTTTAATAAAATGAAATAAATACATACACATGACTTTTGGTGTTGCTCGCCCATTTCCCCTTTCACTGTATCCACACTGCTTCTTCTCTACCTTCTTTCTCCCTTTCTTCTCTTCCCTACTTCCCTCTTCTTCCTCTCCTCTTCTACACCACTCTCCTCCCCTTTCTCCCCACTTCTCCTCTTCTCCTCCAACCTTCCTACTTCCTTCTCCCCTCCTTTACTCTTTTCTCTCTCCTCTCCTTTCTTCCCTCTCATCCCTCTTCAGATACAATTCAGGGGTAATGTCCGAGCAACTCCTCTCTCCAAATTTCCCTATCTGTATTATATACAATAAGATTAATTTTCTCTTACATTAATACTTCTATTTATCTAACCTTCTCGGTATATACTCCTATAAATATTTATATAACCTCCAGTTATTCAGTACTGTGTCGCCTGGATCTCTCTCCTTATCTGCTCCTTCTTCTTCCATCTAAATTGATGTTAACTATCTTTTAACCATATTCTCTTTTCAGCCAATCATAAAAAGTTCCCCAGATTTCATAGTAGTCTGACTCTGTCTTTCTTTAATTGTCATTGTTAGTCTATTCATTTCTGCACATTCCAGTATTTTCCCAATCACCTCTCCCTCTGGGGGGGGCTTTCAGTGCTTTCCAATTTTGTGCAAACACAATCCTGGCTGCCATAATTATATGAATAATTAAATATGTTTTCTCTTTATTGTATTTCTCTGGTAGAATACCCAACAGAAATATTTCTGGTCTTAGTTCTATACATTGTTGTATCATCTTTTCTATCCATGTTCTAATTATATTCCAATAAGTTTTAGCTTCCACCACATATGGTAGAAGGAACCTGGTATCTGATGACATTTCCAACATTTCATAGACCTGTCCTTAAACATTTTAGCTAATCTTTCTGGAGACATGTGCCATCTGTAAAACATTTTGTACATATTTTCTTTATATGCAGTTGCCATTGTCAATTTATAGTTTCTTTCCCATAGTTGCTGCCATCTATCTAATTCAATTGTGTATCCAAAATTCCTTGTCCATTTTATCATTGTCTCTTTCACTTGTTCCTTCTCCAACTCCATATGTAGTAGATAACTGTACATTTTTAATCCATTTTTCTTTCGTTCCTGTGAGTATTTAATCTAACTCTGTTGTCCCCAAATTAACAGCATCTATTTTAACATCTTTTTCATATCTAGATTGTATTTGCGTTCTCATGTACCAATCCATCTTTATTCCTTGTTCCTCTAATTGTTGTTTGGTTTTCAACTCCCCCATATCTGTTAGTAAGTCTTTATATCTTATAATGTTTCCCATGTTAAACATATTGGGGTGTATTAGCGCCTCCATAGTTGAGAGCCAATTTGGAATCTTCAAATAATGCTTTCTCTTTACTTTCTTCCAGACCACAAATAAAGAATTCCTTATATGGTGTCTCTGGAAATAGTTATGTATTCTGTTTTTTCCATACCATATGAAAGCATGCCATCCCAATATGTAAATCATGTCCCTCTAATGTCAATAATCTTGTATTCCTGAGTAAGATCCATTCACTCATCCATGATAATGCTGCAGCCTGATAGTACAATTCCCAATTAGGTAGACCAAACCCACCTCTCAATCTTGTATCTTGTAACATTTTTAGATTAATCCTTGCCTTTTTTTCCCTGCCAAATATATTTCAAGATTATTTTATTAAGCCCCTCAAAATATTTCTTATCTAATCTTATTGGTATTGTTGAAAACAAAAACAATAATCGTGGTAATATATTCATTTTGATTATTGCAATCCTTCCATTAATGATAGTTGTACATTTTTCCATTTATCCAAATCTACTTCAATTTGTCTTTTCAATTTATGATAATTATCCTCTTTAATTGTTGTGCATCTTGCGGTCAGGTGGATCCCTAAATATTTTACCTTCTTTACAATCTGTATATCTAATTTTTCCATTAGTTCTTTTTTTTGTTTTTCAGTAATATTTTTCATTAACATTTTGGTTTTATCTTTATTAATTTTCAACCCAGCTACCTCATCATATTTTTCTATTTGTTCTATTAATACAGGTCCTGTCTCTAATGGTTCCTCCAAAATAAATACTAAATCGTCTGTGAATGCTTGTAGTTTATATTCTTCCCTCTTAATTTTCATCCCTTTTATGTCAGAACAAACAACAGTGGAGATAGGGGACAGCCCTGTCTTGTTCCCTTCATAATGTTGATCTTCTCAGTCATATCTCCATTTATCATTACTTTGGCTGACTGCTTATTATAAATTGTTCTGATTACATTTATAAATTTCTCCCCACAATCCATAGTCTGTAATTGGCTTATCATGAATTGCCAGTTCACATTGTCGAATACCTTCTGTGCGTCCAGGAACACCAACGCCATCTGTTTCTCCGGGTGTGTTTCATAACATTCTAGTGATTCAATATAATTCGCATATTGTCTCTAATCTGTCTTTTGAGTAAGAAGCCATTTTGATCCAATTGTATAAATTCATTTAAAAACTTTTTAAGTCTTTCTGCCATTATTGATGCAAATATTTTGTAGTCCACATTCAGTAGGGAAATCAGCCTGTAGTTCTTTATTTTCTGTGTTTCCGTTTCTTCCTTTGGTATGAGAGTAATAAGAGCTTCGGACCACAAATCTGGTATCTTAGCTTCAGAAAGAAGTTCATTATAAAGTTCCAACATTACATTACCTAGTACTTCCTGCAATGTCTTATATAGCTCTGCTGGTAGTCCATCCGGTCCTCACCATTTTTTTGTCTGTTGATTGCTTCTATTAATTCCATCATTGTTATTTCCCCTTCTAATAGCTTTTTAAATTTCTCCGGCATTTTAGGTATCTCTATTTCTTCCAAAAAATGTTTTATCCTATCATCTGAAACTGTTTGTTGCTTGTATAAGTTCTCATAATATTCCCAGATTATTCTTTCTTTTCTTCATTTCGATGTTGTAAAATCCCCTCATCATCTTCCAATTGTTTAATCCATCTCTTCTCTTTCTCCTTTTTAATTTTATATGTCAACCATCTCCCTGGTTTGTTTGCATGCTCAAAAAAAGTTTGCTTAGCTGCCTTTATTTTCATTGCCACTTCTTCATTTTCTAGTAAGTTCATTTTATGTTTGTTCAGTTCCATTAAATTTTTAATCTTTTTGTTTTGTGTATCTTTCCGTAATTCTTTCTCAAGTGTCTTATATTCTTCCTCCAGTTTTCCCTTATTTTGTCTTTCCTGTTTGTTCTTTTCCCTCAAACAAGTCATAGCAAGTCCTCTCATGTATGCTTTCGCCATATCCCAAACATTTTGAAGTGAAGTATCTTCTTTTTTGTTTTTCTTAAAGAAGAAAAGTACTTCTTTTTTCATATATTGCTGAAAATCCTTTTCATTCAATATAGTTTGGTTTAATGTCCATCTTGTTCTCTTTTTTTGTCCTTTCCATATGATTGTAACTGGGCTGTGATCTGTCCATGTGCTTGTTTCTATGGCTATATTTTGTATATTTGTAAATAAATCTGTTGACATCCATGTCATATCAATTCTCGACCAGGACAGATGTCTGTTAGAATAGAACGTATATTGCTTCTTTTCCGGATATTTCTCTCTCCAAGCATCAAGTATATTTACCGTATATGCCGGCGTATAAGACGACTTCCAGAAGCGCTAAACTCAGCGCCAAAGACGGGGGTCGTCTTATACGCCGGAAATACTGGTAGTTTCTGGCGTATAAGACGACATTCTAGGAATGTGGCTCGGCGATAAAGACGGGGGTTGTCTTATACGCCAGGTCGCCTAATACGCCGGCATATACGGTAATTCATCCACCATATTATAGAAGGATTTAGGAAGTGTTCTTCTTAGAGTCTTATTTTTTTGTTGTTGTATTATAATCCAGCTCAGGCTTTACAATAGCGTTAAAATCTCCAATCATACATATGCTTTCATATTCTCTTGAGTTTCATTTGGAGCATAAATCGCTACCAATAATGATTTTTTACAGTTCATAATTACTTCCACCATTAAGATTCATCCTTCTTCGTCTGAATATATCAATTTAGTTTGTATTGCTTTCTGAATATATAATGCCACACCTCTTTTACTGTGGTCCGCAAGTGAGGTGTATAATTCTCCCAGTTTTGGATATTCTAATAAATTGTTATGTTGTTTCCTAATATGAACTTCTTGTAAACAAATTATGTCCATTTTAGTTTCCCCAGTTTATTTAGTGTTCTTTTCCTTTTTATAGTCAGGTTTAAACCATTTATATTTATCGAGATTATTTTTATCTCTTCTTCCATGATTATTTATTTAAGATTTTAGCTGATCTCGTCATTCTCATCTCTCTTTGCTCTTTTGCCTCTTTTGCCCTTACTCCTTCTACCAATGCCCTTTCCTCCTGTTCTTTGCTATACTCACCCCGTTGTTTCTCTATCTGATCTCCTTGATGTCTAATTCCTCTTTCCCTTCTCAGCCTTTCTTCTTCTTGCTGTCCAAAGTAGTGATCATAAAAAAGCTCTGCTTTCTCTAATGTGTCTAGTCTGTGTCTCTGTTCTTGCCAGTTTACCATTACTCCTTCTGGTGTTAACCATCTAAAATTTATCCCTTTTTCAATTAAGACTTTTGTCAAAAATTGATACTCCTTTCTCAAGTCTCTCACTCTTCTTGCAATCTACTTTAATATCACTATCTCTCTTCCTTTATATTTTATTGTGACATTTTTCAGTTTCTGTAATATATCTGCCCTTAATGCTTTTTTAGTAAACCTTATATGGACCTCTCTAGGAAGCTTATTTCTCGTTGCATATCTAGTATGTATTCTAAATATCTCATCTATATCATTAATTATCTTTTCCTTGCTTTCCTCCAGTGCTTCTGCTAATATTTCAGCCATCACGTCTGCTAAATTCTCTTCCTTTTCTTCTTCAACATTTTGGAATCTTAAGTAATAATCAGCTCTATCCATCTCTAGAGAGATAATCATTTTTTCCTGGTTCCTATCTGTTAATGTCAGTCGATTGTCCATCTCCTCTACTCTCTTATCCATTAATTCAATTTTCCCTTCCACTTGTTGCAGTCTTTGTTCACTTTTCCCCATCAATTCTTTGACCTCTTTTAATTCCTCTTCTAATTTACTTAACCCTTCCTTGAAGTCTGTATGTAATGCCTGTATCATATTTTTCAGTTCCATATTAAATTTATCTTGTTGTATTGTAGAGTCCAGTGTTTTCTACGCCACCGGACTCTGTAGTGTTGAGGGGGCTATTGTTAAGTGTGTTGTGATCTTCTTCATCTTATCCAATGATTTATAATCCAAATGTCAGTGTGCTATTATAATCCCAATATGTTCTAAGAAGAGGAGGAAAGAAACAAAAATAGGAGAAAAATCCCACCTCACAAGTCCAAGGGCAGGAAAAAGTACAATTTACACTTCTTTATTTCAGGTTCTCTGTGCCTTAATCTGAAAAAAAGGAGGAGATCGAAAATAAAACTTCCATAAGGCAGTCCACCATTCTCCAAAACAAAAAACAGTTTCTGTGTTAAATGCAATTAATGTCTCACTCCTTATCAGTGAGCCCAGCAGATGTTGTTCAAGGTCACTTAGTCTTCTGCTTTAGAAGAAGGAAGCTGAAGAAAAAGAAGCAACCCAGGAAAAAGCAAACAATTCTAGACCTCTAACAGTTATTTACTCTCAAATCAGTTCTATTAATCCAATTGTTTTCAGTAGGCTTTTTAAATTCCAGTCTTTACATTGATTTATTGATTTATTGCCTTCCGCTTTTTTCGCCGCTGAAATTCCAGAGGAGGGATAGGAGCAGCTTAAAGGTTCGCTCCCCCTCTTTTCTCCACGGCTTCAAATTCTTCTTATTCCACCCCTCAACATTTCCAGCATTTAAGAGAGAAAGTTTTCCTCCTTTTAACAATCTCTTGATCAGCTCACCCAGGCGATCCTCCAATTTTCTTCCTGATTCTTGGAAGCAAACTCCCAGCTTGTGACAGCTCGCAATGGCTGTCTGACAGCTGCTGGTCTGGGAAGCTTCCGTTCGGCTCTCCAGGCGATTGTGATCCCTCCTGTGCTGCCAAACTACTTCACTGTCCCTACAGGACAACTCTGGTCTGTCTAGGACTAGGCAGACCTCCCCAAAGAGCTGGAAAGCGACGATTCTTAGGGAGCCCCCAAGGAATATGTCGTGCCACCAAGACGTTCATTCCTCATTTACCTATTATGTGAGGTCTACCATGTTTCCCACCTTTGGTTAAGCAGTTGTGTTCTGTTTCCTACTAAGTTCAGCATTTTTCTTTCTAGTTTCCTGTGAATTCACTGTTCCAGAGTATGATGTTCTCTCTTCCCCCCCCCCCCCGTTTTGTCACATTTTGTGCTTTTGGTCTCTGTAGTACAGGACAAACTCAATAGATTCAGACGTGCAACTTTATTTATTTTTGAAATTAGAATATTTCTTCATGCCAATAGTGAGAAGCAAGCATCTTGGTCTGTACTTAATTCACTGCTATATCCCAGGGGAAAAAATCTAGAATCTGTTTTCCGGTATGATTATTTGAGAGGAAGACTCATGATAGCATGTTTATATTATTGGCAGTTGTAGCATTTCCCACAGCTCACAACACGGGTAGTTTCTATATTGTATGACAGCATGAAAGTCAGCACATTCTTCACTGAGATAATGTTTTATTTACTGTATTACTATTATTGATTTTTGCCCTGTACTGCCTCAGGAGAAGCTCATATATATAAGGTTCTTCTCCCATGTTATCCTCACAGTAACCTTGAGAGAAAGGTTAAACAAGAGAGGGTGACCAAAGTCACCAGCAAAATAGGTTTGGCTTTCAAAACCAAATCCTCTTTTGAAGGATTTGCATAGCACTCATACTTTCCAAAGCCATTAGACTGAATACATTGGAGAAATGGGAGAAACATTATAATGCCTGCTTAGTTCTTGACAGACTCATGTACAATTTCTAGCTATGCACCTCAACACAGGGTTTTTTTAATTTTAGATCTGAAACCGTTGTGGAAAGAATGCTTTCTAATTGGATGTCAATTTGTCTTTATCAGTACCTCAAGGTAAGATCTAAAATGCATTCATTTTACATTTATTTTGAATATCCTATCAAATTGTAGACTGACATTAAGCTTTTAATTGATACTTCTTCTGAGTATATGCTAATAGGAATAACTTTTGATCCAAACATGCCACAGTCTTGGTCTGAAGTCAGTTACAAATGGTAGTTTAAATGCAATGGAAAAATGTACTCTGCAGAAATAATGATCTTAAGAAGTTTTTTAATATTCAATAATGGTGGACAAAGTAGCCATTGTCTTCACTCACCATTTTTTCCTCTTTCATCAACTTTATCAGGATAATGCTGGGGAGCCTCTTTATAAATTGTTCAAAGCTATCAAACATCAAGTAGAGAAAGGACCAGTGGATGCTGTGCAAATGAAAGCCAAATACACCCTTAATGACACTGGTTTGTTGGGAGATGATGTAGAGTATTCACAGTTGGTATGTAGCTTTTATTAATATTTGTTTTAGAATATTCAAAACATGAAATGCTTCTGAAATATGACCTCCTATTTTTTCACCATTTACAGTATGTGTTTTGTAAAACATGAATGATAGAAAACTATTATTATTGTTAGTCAAATCAATTCATTGAAAGATGAAGGCTTTGAAAGTTATGGGTCATAATCTAAATTCTGGTTCCATGTGGGTTGCTATAAATAACTTTTTCAACTCCCTGGTTTACTGAAAAGAAAGAGTGATTGATCCATCCAGCTTCCAGAGCTAAGGAAAGATTAAAATTAAAGTTTCACTACTCCTGGTTCAGCACCTTTACTGCTATAGACATATACATTACAGAAAGAATGAGGTAAAGCTTTAAGACTAATGAAATGATTTGTTATGAAGTTTGGCCCTTTAATTGACTAAGTCAACTAATACATAATATTCATGAAGCCAGCCTGCCTAAAAATGCCACAAATGCCAGTTAGAGGAAAAAAGGATAAGATAAGAAATTAAAGGTCCAAAATAGTTTTGGAGAAATATTAATTGTACTAATATTTATCATTTTATTAATTTGCTGAACAGAGGGTATGATTACGTCAAACAGGCTCTTCATTTGAGGGAACTGCAGAACCAAACTAGATGATGTATTTACTATGTCTTTGCAGAGATATTAATGTGTAATACATGTGGAATTTTTTGTTTTGTTTTCTTAAAGCAAGTTGCAGATTAGGTCATCAAAAACACAGGTGAAGTTGCTATTTGCTTTGGACAAAAATTCCCAAAATTTCTTCTCCTTAATTCAGAATTAGCTTCAGAGAAAGGATTTTCTCAGGATTTCAGAAGCAGAGAAAAATGTTAAAATCCTTTCCCAATCCTTTATCAGCAACTCTGAATTGACCAAATGACCATCTCTGTCAGGTGGGGTTTGTTTTCAGTTGCTGATCATCAATATGATTTCCAGAATTATTATTCCCATATTTATATAGGGAAACTATCAAGAACATTTGGCCTTCTTAAAAATCCATTTTATGCCAGGTTCTCTCTTACTGTTTAATTTTTTTCTTGATTTTATATTTACAAATAAATTGAAGCAAACTATATCAGTGGATGATTTGGTTGTAAGATAATAGATTATTAGAATTATATGCTTCTTTCAGCCCATTTTTGAAATATAAATCTAATTGCAGGAAAGTAATTAGTGACAAAATTAATTACTAACATTAATCCACTATATTCAGTAAAATCAAGCATCTGTAAATGCTGTTTTATCTGCTAGTGTGATAAGCAGTGCATTGTAGTCTGGAATCTCTCCCTAGACAGCTACCTTCTAGTCAAGTTTAAATATATATCATTTTTAATTGCCAAATCAAAACTATGGAAGTAATTTGTAATAAACGGTATAGAGTAATTTTATAGTCAACCTCATTTGGTGGACTGGCTGCAATGCATTTACAGATTGGTAAATCAGACAGCCTAAATATCTTTGTAATAACAGGATATCTGGACAAGTGTTCTGAATGAGGCAATCAAATTGAGGTTAACTATACATCAAATTTACATAATGTGTGGCAATTTGCATATGCAAACAATATAATTTGCAGCAAATGGCTTAATTTTTTACTTAATGGATAACTACTCCTTACTCAATTGGCTCATGAAAGCAATGTTTTAGTGTATATGTAAGTAAAAAAATGTTCACCAAAATATCTCTTGAATGACATGGGTGTATTATATGCTCTTTTACTGAAATGTACTTGCTTGCCAGCTATAATAAGGGTTTTTAGACTACATTTGCTTCTTTTAATTTAAGAGTTTGAGTCTATTTCAATCAAAACTGATATTTGGGGATTATAGTAGGAATTACATTTCTGTGAAGCTTTACCTATGTGGAAATTGCTTTCTCTGCTGTTTTGACAGGGGGAATTTCTAATATTAATGAGTGTCTTCCTATAAGGTTAATGGATTAATCTAAGCATCTACGAATACTAGCTGGTCTACTAGTCTGATGATATATGTCAGTTTAAATTTTTTTTAACAAAAAATAAGTCTTCAAAATCCAATTGTGATGATACAGAAATATATTGAAGACTTGCTATATTTTCAATAGATTCAGTGTTAAAAGTGATGAGTAGTTTATTAATTCTCATAGAAATCTCAATATGCCCCATTTCCATCAAAAAACAGAGAAACAGATATGAAATGACTGGGCTACCTGTCTAAATGTCTATAAATAGACAAGTTTATACCAGTGTTCTTTTCTTGTGTGATTTCAATAACTCTGAAATTTCTAACCTTTCAGACTGTAAATGTGATTGTTCAAGATGAAGGCACAGAATCCATACCTGTAAAAGTGCTAAATTGTGACACTATTTCTCAAGTAAAAGAAAAGATCATAGACCAAGTATATCGAATTCTGCCTTACTCACAGTGGCCAAAGCCTGACAGTGTTGTTCTTGGTATGTATCTGAGTTTTTAAATCTATTTTAAAGAACAAATTGCTGTCAACATGCAAATGTTTGGAAAAAACCAAAAGATTGACTTAGTAATTCCATCTGAATCCATGGAACAATCTAAGAGTAAAACGAAAAGTACTTTGCTCACTAAACTCTACCCCAACTTTTTTCCAATTTCCATACATTCAGAAGTTCTCATTTATTTGAAAAGTACTCACTCTATCAGATAAGGAAGGTAAAAATATGACTCCCCTTGTAATTTCCTACCTGAACAGATAAAATTTGGAGAGAAACAAGGGTAATAACTTCCCCCCCCCCACTTTGCCTATCTTTGTATTATGGTTAGTAGGATTTGTGGAGTTAAAATTTCCTTATGTTACTTATAACAATTTACTGATCTGTTTTCCATATAGAAATACTACAGTTGATGTAGAATCTATTCATAATGTATCCAGCAATATAATTTATAACTCAGCTGAGCTATAGGTAGTAATAATTATAATTATTTTAAAAAAAAAACAATTTAAAAACAGTAAGATTAATTTTTTTAAAAAAACCAAATAATTTCCCTGCATATATTAATCCTCTCCAGCCAACAGGATTAGACCACTTGGAAATATATAATTTATTTATTTTCGACATACAATCTATTTATCTTCCTTTCATCATCATCATCATTATTATTATTATTATTATTATTATTATTATTTGCTAATTCCTGTTCTTTACATTTACTTCTCTTAATATTTCAAATTCTAATGCCATGGACATTATCTAATATGACTTTGTGGCTTTTATCAAGCTTTTACAGAGTATTTCTTAGTAACACAGGGAAGGTGCAAACTAGCCTTACCTGAACTACATGCAACATTCCCTAAAAATGGTAAAGATATAATTTTTTGCCATATCCCACAAGCACAATAAGACCATGCTTATACTATGCAAGCTAAGATCTTTACTTTGAGATATATTGTTTCTTGACCTCCAAGAAAAAAAAGTTGAAAACAATATACTAATACAAACAAAATCATTTATTGGAACTAAATTTTGGAGAATGTTTTATGTTTCTAAACAACTCAACTCTTAAATGGAGTTTCCTCTAGTGATGATTTTGGCTTTTTTTTTTTACAAAAAATGAAACATCTGGGGAATTGCTACTTATAGACAACAACTGTATGTCTATAATCTTAAAATAAATTGGATCTTAACTAGATATGCAGCCTACCCTAATAAAGGTTTATGACAACACATCTTTACAGACAAGTGTAGACCCTCCTTAATTTTAGCATCAGAGAGCAGTAAGTCTCATTGATTTGATAATGTTGGCCCATTATCAAATCAAGAGATTCCTCTAGATAACCTCCTATTAAGACTAACCACCTTATTTATATTACTATTTATTTTTATTCCACTGTTACTGTTTTTATAAATAACTCAAGTGGCAAACATACCTAATTATCCTTCTTGTGCCTATGTTTCCCACAACACCATCCCTGTGGGGGGGGGGTCAAGCTGAGAGAGAGAGCAACTGGCCCAGCAGTAGCAGTGCAGAATCTTCTAGGAAGGAGCGGTCCCACTATACAATGCCTTGTCTCTACTACAGAAAAAAAAAACTTTTCTATTAAATCTAATTTATCATTTTTAAAAACGGGATTGCTTGGGTGGGTGGATCTAGAGAGGAGAACAGAATTCTGCAAGACTTCATTAATCTGCTAAGCTTCCTTTATATGCAGATTATTTTTGTGTGGACACCTGTAAAATGTTTTTCTTCTTGCAATTGCTCCTCAGAGTGGCGTCCAGGATCTACTGCACAGATACTCTCAGACTTGGATTTAACGTCACAAAGGGAAGGGAGGTGGAAGCGCATCAATACCCTGATGCACTATAACGTAAGGAAGCATTTTGGAAACGTTACACCTCCTTGCTGCTTTTTAGTAATGCACAGCTTTTCGTTAAGAGTGATCTGTCTCAAAAAGGGTTCCCTTTCCTTCCTATCACATCCAATATCTATTTTCTTTTAACAAAGCCCAGATTATATTGCCATGCCACAAGTGGGCAATTATTGAATGCAGCTCTTTGGATACTGGCAAATTCTGTATTAGTGATATAAAAAAAAGTTATCTTTGTTTAAAGCCAGCATAGAAATTGTTATCATTATGCTTCCGGCAAGAAATCCTTCCAGTAAAGGTTAAACTTAAGGAATGAAGCATACCTTCTCTAATCTCTGTGAATGTCAGTTTTCTAATCTCAAAAGAATTTGAGGACCTGAATATGAGATTGACTGATAAAAAATACCTTTCAGTAATGGGCAAGAACTCTGGGTAGAACTGTCCATGATACTTCCTTCCCAAATGACTACAAAGATGGGCCTAGTTTTATTCACCAATGAGTATTTAGAAGACTAAAAAATGGAAGACTAGCTGCTTTTTTTGTCTCTTTCAGTAGCATACATACAGTACATAAAAAGAATAATTGAATGCTTTGTAAAAAAAAATGGCCAAGAAAGGTGAATTTATTCTTATACTGCATACAGTGCTTGTATAGGAATAAGAGTTATTTTTGCTGTTCTCACCAATTTGTTGTATGTATGTTCTTGAAGGTAAGAGATGGTGCTACCCTCATCTTGTCAAAAATGGGGATTTCTCAACAGCCAGAGGATCACCAACAAGACATGCCAGAGGAACGTAAGTATAGCATGTTAGTCTTTCAGACAGGTTCTATTTTATGACAGAAAACAAGCTGGATACTGTGAGTTTACATGTATAATCATAGCATCTAGCTTGGGATATAGATATGTGCTGCAAAACAATCTAAAGAGATAAAGTGGTAAAGAGCCTTTTACATTCTTTAAACCACATAGAAAATGTGATGCAGAGAAATTCTGGAAAGCTATCATTTAACATGTAGCTAAGTCAGTTTATTTGAAAAGCTATAAAAATTAGAGAACCAGGCAAATCTGCAACCTACACTGACAATGATTTGTGGTGTTCTTCATTGGATAATCAGATACAGTGTTTTCCATTAAAAACCAGATTGATTGAAATACTCTTGCCAGTTTTACAAAAAAAAAATAGTGGCTTAAAAGGGATTGTTTTGGGTTGACTCCTTTAGGTTTGATTCTCCTTTTAAAAATCAATATGGATAAAACTAGACACTGTTAAAAGTTGGTTTTTTATTAAAAAAATAGATAAAAGAAAATAAGTTTACAGCTCACTAAGAAGTTTTTTTGTAAATTGTTTAGTATTTGATGTTTTAACAGAGGTAAATGCAGTAGCGAATTACAGATCCTAGGGGATAAATGCAATAACATTTCACATTTCTAAATTAAATGTCTGCAGTTGCACAAATGGGGCACTGCATTTATTTCAATGGGATTTTGAAAGTAGGAATATTTGTTTGACTGTTCCTTTTTTTTGTATTCCTGTTCAGTAATGATTTTTTTTTTTTGGCTAACTTCTCACAAATATTGCATTTATAGAAAATCACTATAATTTTAATTTGTTCTTTTAATAATAACAAATATTTTATTTTAACTCAAGTTATTTCTCTTTATCCCAGGAGGTTTGTATATCTCTGTAAGGCATCTTGGTTATAATGACAATGTTCAATGTTATTTCAGAAATTTGTAATTGAGATAAGATATGAATCACACACACTTTCCAACTTACAGTCTTAGTGTTTCTATAATACAGCTTCCTTATACATTCCAGCATCATGTGTAGCACACAATTGAGTAGTAATAAATTACATGGAAATAAGAATCCAGTCATGCTGACCTCCGTCTATTAATAACCTGGCTATTAATAATCTATAGCATTTTCTCCAATTATAGAATGTTAAAACTGGTATGAGGAACACAAGTTCTTTTCCTTATAGAAAAGTAAATCTGGAAAAAAATCAGTGTAGTTTTGCAAAGACTCTCCATCCTAGATAGAGATCTTTATCTGCAAAATTCCCGACATTACTATTCACAGCAAAGTTTTCTGTGTGTCTTGGCTCCCTTCTAGTGGTTTCATGATCTTTGCAGCTAGTAAACCTTGATTTATCTTCTTTGTCTTTTCTCTAGGGTATTTTCAGACTTCATTTTTAAAGATTTGAATTATCCAAATACCATTGGTTTATGAAGATGATTCTGAAAATAATGGTATCATCAAAATGACAGTCCATTTGTTTGTTTTATAGGTTATGTACTTCGGTTCATAGCAATAGCATTTAGAGTTATATACTGCCCTATAGTACTTTACAGCACTCTCTTTCCAATATAAGTATTATTTGCATATTGTCCCTTACAATCTGCGTCCTCAGTTTAATAACCATGGAAAAATGGAGGGCTGAATCAAATTCTGGATTGTGGGCAGAGTTTGCCTGCAATACCACACTTTGCTTGCAATACTGCACTTTAACCACTGTGCCACCAGGGCTCATGAACTACAAAAACACGTAGAAGCCTCAAAATTATTTAAAGAGGATTTAGTATTTATAATAGACATTATACCATAAAACTGTTTGAAGTTCAGCAGGGTTAGATTTTGCATTTTTTCATATTATTGGTCTTTTGAAATCAATAGTTCTGCAAAATGGCAGGTATTCATTACTTTTTGGCCTTGGAATTATCAGTCTTACCAAAGGAAGAACAATATACCATAGCGGCTTTTTCTCTGATTGCTAAAAGTCATGATGATGCTGGAAACTGAATAAAAAACAATACAATTCAGAATTGTTAAAAATGTCATTATGTACATATTTTTATGCTTTGGCCTTTCTGACATACATGTATTGTGAGTGTACTATGACTATAATTAATTGGTTGCCATTATTGTACATTTATTCAGCTTCATAGATGAAAAGTTTTATATTTAAAGTGCAGGCGTGTAATTGCTTGAACCTTTATATCATTCATGGTGCCCATTTTGCTTTGAACTGTACAATATAGTTAAACAGATGGACTACATTTATACTGTTCAAGAGATCTGGAATGGGAAGTAGCTTTGTTTTAAGGTCTCCAGTTCCCACACTATGTAAGAATGCATTGCAATCTTAGTTTACAAGAAAAAAAATTAAATTGGAATGAACATATAAATACGTCAGTAAATGGAATTACACACTCATGGTTTTTAAAAATCACAGGATCCTATTATAAAATTGTCTGATTTTTCCTATACACAGCCTGTGTCTGATTTAAGAATCTCATTATCAACAAAAGGGGATGTGTTGTAAATGAACAGATTATGGTGTCTTCAGACATGAAGTCTATGAGACATTTCTAAAATATAAAGACATTCGGGACTTAAGAAATCAAGTATTTTATAATTTGATTTAGCTAGAGATTTTATCACTTCTGTAACTACCTAAGAATGTTCCAAAACCTAAATATAAATATAGGAAAACAAATAGGAAATCTATTTTCATTTGGGTATCTGCAGGTAGTCATTTACTTACAACTATTCATTTAGCAACCGTTCGAAGCTATAACTGCACTTGAAAAAGTGACTTAAAACTAGTACTCGGAACATATCATTACAACATCCCCATGGACGTGTGATCAGAATTTGGACACTTGGCAACTAGCATATATTTACAACAGTTGTGTCATCCCAGAGTCATGTGATCACCATTTGCAACCTTCCCAGCAAGCTTCCAGTTTGGAAAGTCAACAGAGGAAGCTGGATAGATTTAACTGCTGCATGATTCACTTTACGACAGTAATTTGCTTATCAACATAACAAACAAGATCATAAAATTGGGCACAGCTCAGTTAACAACCACTTTGCTTACCAATAGACATTCTGGTCCCAATTGTGGTCATAAGTACTGTAGAAGCGTACCTGTATAAGTTAAGTTTTGTACACATGTGATAAGCTTTGAATTGCTGGGATCTACTTTATATTTCTTAGGGTCTATGAATAACAAATAGGTGAAACCATATCACAAAATAGACGCCGCTAGCTTTAACAACAGAGTTTAGGGAATACTGACTTACTTTACTGTTTTTGTGCTTTTTCCTCTTCAAACTAATACGATCAACCATGGTCAGAAATAGCTCTGAGAGTTAGAGAAAGGGGGGCATGGAATGCCCTCCCATTTTACTTTAAAATTACCTCAACTTATTCATTTTAAAATCTAGAATTTATAAGCAAGAATAATATAGCTTAGATTTTACTTTGGGATCCTTTCATTTATGAAATGCAAATAATATTTATTGCAGGCCATTAAATATGCCATTTAGTTGCAATGCAGTAGGACATTATTTCAGGCATGGCAATCAATTGCTCAGTCAGTGGATTTCATTTCATCTGTTGATTGCTTTGAAATGTTATGGTTTATTCAGGACATGCTTTATTGGAAGAAGAAAATAAGATCTGGCATCTAGTTCGACCAGTAGATGAAGTTGATGAAGGTAAATCAAAAAGAGGGAGTATGAAGGAGAAGGAAAGGACCAAAGCTATCACTGAAATCTACCTGACAAGGCTTCTCTCTGTGAAGGTAAAATTGACTGCCAAGAGCCAAGTTTTACTGTGTTTAAATAGTGAATTTAGATGTAGAATTTTCCTTTAGAATTAAGATTTAGATTCAAAGACATTGGCTAGGTACAGTCATACCTAGAGTAGCTGCATTGAAATTAATAGGTCTCAATTAAGCTTCATTGATGTTAAAGCAACTCAAGTCTTTTCATCTTTGCTTATGAACTTATTCTTTGAAAATTCCAGAAATAATACACTATGTGTCCATTTGATAACAAAGAATCCCAAGAGTTACCAAACAAACATTCCAGTGTTTTCATTTTCTTAATTTTATTGTTTGCTGTGCATAACAAGAGTTGAACTAGTCTGAACCAATAGAGTTCCAACTGATTTATTGGGACCTGAGTTTTATTTCTGTTGTTGCTAGTATATTTTCATTTAACATTTTTAAAAAAGGAAAAAAAAATAATTTAAAAAGATAGATAAAAGAGGAATAAAAATACAGAAAATTTTTAAAAGGCCATGAATAAAGAGGAAATTTACAAAAATGATAGAATTAAGATAGAACTTTCAATGTTTCATTAACTATTATTAGGTAGTTGAATATATTATTTTAAAAACTACAGATTGTTTTAAAATCCAAGCAATATATAAATATCAACATGTATGAACAGCAGTAGTCAGCACTAGTCAGCACACTATACATTATATAATAAGATTAATAGTTAAATTCTGTCCAACCTTCTGAAAATCTATTCTGATTGTATAGATCCATTAAAGGTAGAATATTAAAACTTTACATTAATAAAAATCCAAATTTTAGATATGATATAAGCTGATGTATACTGACTTTGCAAAGAATGTAAAACCCTTACATTCCCCTTTTCCCTTTTTTCTATTTCTGTTATGACCGTGTCTGAAGTACTGCTGAGATCTAAAGTCAAGTATATAAATAGCTCAGGGCACTCCTTTTAAATACAAACCATACTTAGCCATTGTAATATTTTTCCTCTAGTAATTTGAAAGGCTAATATTATGTAGTTTTGAACCAGGCTTTCCAACGTGGCATTTTGGGGTCTGAATGTGCCTGCAGACATCTCTCTTGTATCTTACCATATTTCCTACTTTTCCTGACACTGTTCATTTTAAAAAAGAATTCTGAAAAGTAAACATTAATCCTCAGTATTATGATCATTTCCATGAATGAACCTTAGCATAACCTAAACCCCATAATCTTAACAGCTAAAAATTAAATGGAGAACTATAGTTTGAAAAAAAATGCTCATCTCACCCCAAAAAGAAGAAATAGAAAGAAGGGCAACAAGATATATGTGATAAGGAGCATCCTGATAAATTGATATCATAGGTTATTGCTACCCATGCCAGCCCTTGTTTTGAAGTTATAGTCAATCCTAATAGCCACCACAGCCTCAATTCTGAACATTGACACCAGCCCAAAAAAGATTCTGAATAATGATTTAACACTGTTGTTTCAGTTCTGATTGAAGAAGAGAAATGTATTTATTTATTTACTAGATTCATATATCTCTATGTTTTGGGGCTCTCCATAATAAAAATTAAAAATTCCACAAAAATGCAGTATAGCAGTGATTAAACAAGTAGAAGCAACCGAAAACAGAAAACACTAGCTCATTTTTTTCCACAGCCATTCTCCCCAAAAAGTTCTGTTTTAATCTATTTCTAGAATGCTGTTCCTTATCTATTTCAAAGAAACCAAGCCCAGTTTAAACTTTGATTTAAAAAAGGCCCATAATACTGGGGCTTTTTAAAATCATATGTAGACTTATCCTCTCTATGTAGTTATTTAAGCTGTGTTGATAAATTCTAAATACCTGAGTTATCTATAATTAGGTATTGATAAATTTGGAAAATGGCAAAGTAAAGTCCATTGTCCTTAGTGCTAAATACCTTTATGGGCTCTGCATGAATAGCACCAATTTCCGCAAAAGACTCTGGGTGTACATCATAGGTTTTTAGATCACGTGATACTCTACATGCCAAAGCAGTTCCCCTCATAGAGGTTCATGCTGAATATGCAGATGACTGCCCTAGGGATACATTATATGACTGATCTGTAGGAACACCCAGCAGGATTGTTCATATAAATGGAAAGTTGCATGCCTAAATAGGGCTTAAATTAGTTTAAAGCCCAGGAACAATTTCTCATGAGGTCCTCTTCTATAAACATTAATATGAGTATCTATAGCAACTTAGTCCGTAATTTCATTTAAACTATATTGAAGTTCATTTGTGAGCTCTTTATTGTTGTGTAAAGATAGCCAAATCTGCTTAACAATATCTGAAGAAAATGTGACATGCAGAGCAGACAGGACCAGTTAAAATTTCATCAAGCCAAACTGATTTTGTATGAAAATCCTTGGCTTATTAACAAGATCTCCAATTGTATTGCATAAGTCTTGTTGTTGTGTTTATGCATCCCAATTAAATATGAATTATTTTCCAGAGGTATTCCTTCCTTCCTTCCCTCCCTCCCTCCCTCCCTCCCTCCTATCAATATCTGTTACGGTCACAGACCATCATTACAAATAAAAGTATTATTATTATTATTATTATTATTATTATTATTATTATTATTATTATTATTTAAAAACAGACAAAATAATATATTATGATTAGGGATGGATTATCAGTGGGCAGTTAGAGTCTGCCTGATTTTGCATACATTATAACAAAATTTGGCTACATTCAAAGAAACTAGTTTGTTCTAATCTGAAAACAGCAGTTGTACAAAGAGATCAATATTTCCTGGTATTTTATTAGGCAAAGTGTTATAAATTGAGTCTATGAGTCCTTATAGAAGATGCAGTATAGCAGAACGTGAGATGTACTTTCAATAGCCATGTCCACAGGGGTACAATCTCAGCTCATATGGGGTTTTTTGTATTAGCCCTCCAAAATCTCTGTGGAAAGTGTATTTCAACATGCTAATGTTCAGATTTTTGGGACAGTTATGTTATAAGTATCTCACTACTTTAAAAGGAAGAGTTTGACTGCTTAAAAAAATATTCTTGGGAAGAGCAGACTTATTGGATTTCCAGATCTTTGATGCTTTCTTTCTTTCTTTCTTTCTTTCTTTCTTTCTTTCTTTCTTTCTTTCTTTCTTTCTTTCTTTCTTTCTTTCTTTCTTTCTTTCTCTCTCTCTCTCTCTCTCTCTCTCTTCTTCTCTCTTTTTTCTTTCTTTCTTTTTCTCTTTCCCTCCTTCCTTCCTTTCTTCTATCCATCCATCCACACAGTTATAAGAAATACTGAACTTTACTATAATAAAGTTACTAAAACATATAAAAATCAAGTGCCCCCCACCAGCTCATTTTTGTTGTTGTAATATACCCAGAAAGCTCAGTTCTAAATACATTACTCTCCCACGAATTCCTGCTATTGGTTGCCCATTTATTTCAGACTAGAGTCCTCTGTTCTCCCTGATCCACAATGCTGAAATTGCCACCTCTTTAAACAGAGCAGAGAATTATTCTTTCTGAAGTCCCTGGAACATTTGTTACGACTGTTCATTTTATGTTCATAAGAGCATTTACAACCCATTTATAGTTGAAAAATGCAGCACTTGGAGCCATTGTGATTCTGTGGCCATTTGGGATAAAGTCTTGTACAGATGACTATAAGTCAATTTCGGAAGCAGTCATAAAATTGAAAGGATCTGCTGGAAAATGTTACACTTCACACCATAATCAGATTTTTTAATGTTTGTATTGTGTGTGTGCTTTCCCCCCTTTAGGGTACACTTCAGCAATTTGTAGATAACTTTTTCCATAGTGTACTTGATTCACATCATGTTGTTCCACCAGCTGTGAAATATTTCTTTGACTTTCTTGATGAGCAAGCAGAGAAGCATGATATCAAAGATGAGGACACCATCCACATCTGGAAAACAAACAGGTAGCTGGGGAGAAAAATAGTACCGAATTAACTATCAAGAAGTTTGTTTCTTTTCTTTCTTTTTATTTGTTATTAATAAGGCTAAAAATGGGAATTAAACAAGTTTTATAACAAGCTTCCAGAGAAGGGTTCAACAATTTTTCAGATATGCATTTTTTTATTAAATTTCTAAAGCTGTCTAGTTCAGAATGACCCTGAAACATAGAGTATTGGAAGCAGATAAAACAATTATTTATTTTACTTTAAAAATGTAAATGATTGTAATTTCATGGGATCTTATATGAGAGACTTCTTTGTTTTCCCCTCTAATTGTGAACTAGCAAGCCTCTTCGCTGAGAAAGGAAAACCTTGTTCCTGGCCTTTTACACAACTGTCTTCTAAATCTTTATCAGCCCAGGAATCAACCATTACATGATCCCTTTCTAAAGTTGGGGAAATTGCCATATACCTAATAATAAAAAGCATATGCAAGTACGTAGCTCAATGGTCACAGTTTCTATTTCAAACAGATGCATTTTACTTATTTATTATTTATTAAATTTGTATCCCTCATTGCCTTCATTCAAGATAAGCAAATACAAGGTTCTCCCTTACCTTTATCCCCAGAGCAGCAAGTCTAAGTTAGGCTGGGCTCTGAAAGAATGACCAGTCCAGTATAATTCAGTAAGTGTCCTGGGCTGAAGATGGTTTGATTCTGACACTTTCCAATTGAGTTCAATTTTTTAACCAGTACATCACACTGGCTATTCTGGGTACTCATATTGCTCAACCACAAACTTTGAAAACCTCAAAATTCAGTGTAATTTAATTTATTAAATTTGTAAAGCTGCCCAGTTCACAATAACTCTGGGTGGCATAGAGTATTGATAGTGGATAAAAAACAATTACTAAAAAATGAAGCGATACAAAGATTTGACAAACAAAGGAGATATCAGTCAGAATATATTTAACAAACTATTAAAGGAGAATGATGGAAACATTAAAACGGGAGATTGGAATTTTCCCTACTTTAAGCAGCCTTTTTCAGCTGTTACAAAGGAGTATACAATTCGCCATACTTAATGGCGAACAGTCCCTTCATCTACAACATCATGTGACATTAGTGAAAAGCCAATATTCACAAATACTAGGTGGTGGTCTGCACAATGAGCCCCAACACTGCAGGTCAAAGTGGGATCATGACAGAGGATTTGTCTATAGAATTTTCTAGATGTTCACTGAAATCACTAGCACAATTTTACAAAAGAGAAGAGCTACTCACTTCTGTTGCTATTGCTTGTTACACATGAAAAACTCTAGACGTGGCACAGTATGTATGGCAGCCCAGATTCTTTCTTGTTTCACTTTTGTCTACCAAACATTGAGTTTAATTTGAAAACCTTTACCTCTATTCTTTCTGCAGCTGGACTTTCCTTTGGAATCAGTACTTATCAGCAGCATGAGCACTAAACTTCTGCATTTTGACCGAGTTGTCAGAACCTTACAACTGCATACAAATCCTTATTACAGAGCTAAAGAGCTTTTGCTAAATAAGCTAGCATTTGTTTGCATCATGGAACTTTTTGACATATAGCTAGCCAAATTGCCATTCAGATAATTTAAATTCTTTTTAGTATACAAGCACATTGTGGAAGCTTATGACACATTAAGGTAGAAATCTTCTGGGTTACTCAGCATAAGAAAGCTCATTGGTGCTCACTGGCTTATTTATTCTACTTGTGCTTCTCCTTAAATAAATCAAGAAAACACTATCTGAGATCTGCTTAGCATTTGTTGAAACCATGCTCTGCTTTGTTACTGTCCAAAAGAATCCAAATCAACACCAACAAGTCCATGAATAGAACTTTGAATATAATAGCAAGCCAGTCATGATTTAGTTAGTTATTGCCAAGAGGAGCAAAGCAGAAATGATAAGATAGAATGTATGGTCATGCATGCTTGATCCTATTAATCCAAATGTCATGAATTCCTGTTTATGATAATGTTCAAAGAAGCATACTTTGTACCTAAAGTATATAATCAAATGATATATTATGGTAGAGTGATCTATTAATGATAATGCTTTTTGCTTGTTAGTATTACCTTTTCATTCATTCCTGAATACCAGTTTCAATTATTTATTGTTTTCTTTCCAGCTTGCCCCTTAGGTTCTGGGTGAACATATTGAAAAATCCCCACTTCATCTTTGATGTTCACGTTCATGAAGTAGTAGATGCTTCCTTATCAGTCATTGCACAAACTTTCATGGATGCTTGCACAAGAACAGAGCACAAACTAAGCAGGGTAAAGCTTTATCTTCAGTTCTATGTGTCTGACACAAACAGCAATCTGCAACCACTTTTCTCGGTCCTATTGCCCTAGAATCCAACTATACTAAAGGAGTTAAAACTGAATACATCTAGAAGATACCAGGTTGGGAAGACTAATAGAGAAAAGTCTTTATTAAAGGCATTAATTCATTTTTTTTCATCACCTATAAGGGATATTTATGCTGCTTCACAGAATCAGGGATATTTATTTCCTGCAGTTTCTATAATGCATCTAATGATAGATTTTTTTAGTTACTTAAAAAATGATGTCACCATTGTTGAGTAATAACTACTTATCCCTTCTGTCATAAAAACTGCCAGAATTTATTTCTCTCTACCTGTTTCTCTGGCATCTAAACATTTAGTAAATCCACCCAAAATGGATGGCTTAGTTAAATTTTTCTCTAATTGATTTATTTCTGGTAGTCCTGATATCATGAAAAATATATGCTGAGTCCAGTCAGGGTTGATGAGGTCTACTAGATGTTGTGAGAGAGGGTACCTAGAAAGAGAGGTAGTACTGGAAAAGGTAGAGGGCAGAGAAAGAATCACAATGTTGCTGTTACATTTGAATAAATACATGAGCAGGAGGTAGCAATAAAGAAAATATATTCTGAGGCCTCAGAATACAGATGCTCAAGGAGGATTGATCTGCTCTTCAGAAATTGGATTTTATATAGATATTTACATGGCCTGCTGAAGAAGAATTGCTTTCCCAACAGCAGCAACAGATTTGGGCAGGGGTGTCTCTCTTTCTCTTTCATGCTTGTTTTGAAAGATAAATAACTCTTAAATGCCATGAGTTTTCTTCTTGTTGTTGATATAACATATCAATATTCTGCTTTCCAAATGGTATGCAGCAGCATCCATAAAGGAAGGAGAAAGTACAAGATGATGGTCCTAGCATCGTAGTCAACAACAGGGATAGAACTTCAGTCATGATCCTATACCTGTCATCAAGCAGATTTTGATCTACCTATCTTGTTACTCATGATGCTGTGACATACACCTTATTGAAGGGAATGGATTTTCTACTTCAAATTTCTGCAATGCTAGGAAAAAACAAATCTATGAGTTTCAAAAATCAGATTTCGTTGCTTTCTCTTTTTCAGGATTCTCCAAGTAACAAGTTACTCTATGCAAAAGAGATCTCTACATATAAGAAAATGGTGGAAGAGTAAGTAGAGAGAACTACAATTTATTTTATATTCTTGGGGACAAAATGTTTGTTTCTCACATCATATCTCTGTTTAGGGCAAGTTGGTTCTAAATATATCCTGAGTAAAAATTATCAAGATAAAAATAATTTTATTAGAATATTTATCATGATAAAAGTGACCTGGAAATTACACAAAAGAATGATAAACACATAATATAACAGTAACATATTCATTTTCAAAACAGATAGAAATTTAGCAATGCCAAATGAAATTGATTTAATGTGTAGAATGATTTTGCAACATTTGAATATATTAATTGCTTTTAAAAAATCATGATTTTTGCCTTTGTATTTTATTCCAGTATTTCACTCTGATGGTTTTCCCTTTTTGATTCAGGCATGTGTGTATGTTTGTACATAGTATGGATTTAGGAAATAAGATACTTTAATTCCCCATCCAAGAAACACTTTCAAAAATGAAAAAAGTATGACAACATATCTGTCAGGAAGCAAATGTTTATAATATCATAAAGATTTAGCAAACTTCCTGTGGCCTGAATTTTTAGAAGGTATCATCTACTCTGAAATAAAGTTTTTCTAGGTGGGCTAGAAAAGATGGTCTGCCTTTATTCTAAAGAAATCACCGACTTGGAAGATCAACAAAAGCAACAGAAAACATTTGGGGCTGAATCTGAGAAGTTTGGGCTTGTGGGTGCTTTAGATAGCTGCACAGATTGTTCTACTGTACCTTTTGATCTCTTGCTCCTCAAAATGTGCTGGGGTATAGCAGATACTCAAATGAACCACATCCTTATTACAGTTTCTCCACTAATGAATCTATTTGGGAACCGCAAAAAAGTATCATGCTAGATAGCTGATTAGGGAAGTCATGTTGGACCATACTAGTAGTCTTCAGTTTATGACCATTTGTCCATTGACCATTCACAGTTACGACAGTGCTCGTGCCCAAAGTTACCTTATGCAAGGCAGCATTTGGCCACACCAGGACTTCTTCCTGAGGCCATGTACACTGTTCTCCAAATTCCTTCTCTAAATCACACTCCCCATTCCTTCCCCAAATCATGTGCCTTGTTCTCATGCTCTAGAAACTTTCTGGCCTTCTCCAAGACTCACAAGAACAGGAACATTATTTGGAAATCATCAGGAACCCCATTATCATGGTGCTTTGCAAGACTTCATTCTCCAGATTGCATGTACCATTCATTTTCAAATTATGCATCTTGTTCTTGAGATTCTTCAGAAACCTTCTGGTCTTCCCCAGTTTTCACAAGAACAGATGTGCAATTTGGAGAATGAGGATTTCCCAAGCACTGTGAGAACCGGACTCCTACCAGTCTCCAACTAGCACACCTGTTCTTTGAGAACTGGGGAAGACGAGAAGGTCTCTAAAGGATCACTAGAATGGGACGTGTGATTTGGAGAAGGAACGGCAAAAGTAAGTTGGAGAATGACAGAAAAAGCTTCGGGAAGAAGACTAGGCAGGGCCAGAATACAGTAGGGTTAGGTTGGGTGCACATTAGCAGCAGTAGGAAAACAGTGAAGGTCAGCTGGGCACAGTAGTGCCTGTGTAACATAGGGTGATGGGGCAACTGGGGCTTTCCCCATCTCCTCATGCACTCCCACACTTCTTACCTGAGACCCATTCTGCTTAACAATCTGTGATTTTAGATTAATGATGACAACCAGGAATGCCGGGATTGTGATTGCTAGGTAATATGGTCATGTGACATCTTGCTTTATAACCACATCACTTAGTGATGGAAATTCTGGTCTAAGTTGTAGTATAAGACAAGCCTATGAGCCTTTAGTGGGTTTATGAGCAACCATCCACTGAAATGCTTATGTTCAAAACAAGGTATAAGAAGGAATGAATGTAATAGAAGCTCTATTGACTTGAAAACTCTATAGGAAGTCATTTATCTCTATGTCTTGTCCTCCAAGCACCCTATTGGGATAGCCCTGGTTAGCTTATAAGTATCAAGAGTTCTCCTCCAGCTGTTAGAATAGAAGAAATGCTGGCAGAAATTTTGGACATAATACTACCAGATAAATAGCTCATTAGCTATAAGCAGACCCTTAACAACTCATGGGTATCCTAAGGTTTCTCTGCCAAAATTCGACCACAAAAAGTGAACAGTTTTGACAGTCTGTTTTTTTCATGAATTTTGTCTAAAGTTGAAAATGGTGATGAAAATGGATGTCTTCCATTATACTTAAATTCCCAACCAAAAAATGCCCCAAATGTGATTTTCTAGAGATAAGACCAGAGGTCTTCAAACTTGGCCCTTTTATGACTTGTGGGGTTCAACTCCCAGAATTCCTCAGCCAGGCACGCTGGCTGAGGAATTCTGGGAGTTGAAATCCACAAGTCTTAAAAGGGCCAAGTTTGAAGACCCCTGGTTAAGACAGTTAAGAATAAGCATGGAGACATTATTCTCATAAAATAGACCAAAAGTTGGTTTCATCTCTTCCCATGACAATAGCAGATAGTTTCTTGTAGCCTGTCCCTGTAATATTGCTAATCCCTGGCCTATGGTAATGTTTTTATTTTGCATCATAGGAAACTATTGCTATTTTGATTTATTTTAGCTGTCAATAATTGCACTAAATCTCTGAAACCGTGCAAAATCCATCATGGAGAAAACTTCAGTTCCTGACATTAATCTATAAGGAGGAGATCAGATCTTTTTTTTTTATAAATATATCCAAGATGAAAATCAGCAACCATCCTTTAAAAGTTCTAGTTCAATCTAGTAATGTCTATTAAGAAAATGTCATAAATTCAGTACAAAGTGTTAAAGTATTTTTAAAGGTTGTTATTTCAGCTAAAACATTTTTTTCTAGTTATTATAGAGGTATTCGCCAGATGGTACAAGTGAGTGATCAAGATATGAATACACATTTAGCAGAGATTTCTCGAGTAAGTACAAAATTGGAAACAACTTTTAAATATACAGTACCTGATAAAAGTAAAGCTGCTGGGTTATTTGTTTGCGTTGGGTTATTTGTACCATGTGTCCTATTTTGTATCAGTCCTCTGGAGTTCTTTCCACTTTCCCCCCTCCCCCAAGGTTTTGGCATTCCTAATAGTTTAGTTCAATGGTTGACCACACTTGAGGTCAATGGGGGAAAATCTTTAGTAGTTTCAAACCAGTTTTATTTTCATAGTTCCCTGAGTTAGATTAACCAGATCGGACTGACTGATTGATTGGTCCATTTCTCTTTTATATGCCATTCAATCCAACGAAGCTCAAGTAAGCTTTAAATAAGACATAAACAATAGGAAAACAAAGCAGCAGTATTCTGATCAACAACCACAACATCCAATCCATAACACCTGGTCTATCAGTAGTGTATTCCCCAGGATCTCAGGAAAGGCTTTTATGATAGGACCCAACCAAAACTTTCCTGCAGTGTCTGTTTTTTGATCTGGCCTATCCCAGAGCATCTTAAATTGCTCCCAGAATCAAACTCATCACTAGACATCTCTTTCTGGTAAGATGCTATCTGTGAAAATCTATCAGTTCCTATCATTACATAAGCCATTGCATTCTGGACCAGAAGAAGCTTCTGAGTGGTCTTCAAGGGCAGCCCATGTAGAGTGCCTTACTTAGCATGTGTCACTGTGAATAGGGCAGCCTAAAAAAGGCTATAACTGATTTGACTAGATGAAATTGGGCAGTGCCTTTCCTAGCTATCTTTTCTTCAGGTAGCAGGTGCATCTAAAATGACCCCTAAGTTACAAATTAATTCTACACAGGACAGAATCAGAGAGATTTAAAATTGGATTATCTCTAGTAATGGAGGGCTTCTGAGTCCATAACTAGTCTGTTGTGCTGAGATTAAGCCTGAACCTATTCATCCTTACTCTACTTTACCCAATAGCTTTGTATAGATGTTAAGTATGAGAGTATTGCTTCCCACAGGAAATAGTACCTCAAAGTCAGTCCAGTAAGATACCTGACTGATGCTATCAAAAGCCCCTAAGAGGAGAAGCAAGACCAGGGGAGCTGCGTCTGTCTGTCTGTCTGTCTGTCTATCTTATTTAGAAACTATCTACCTCCCTCATAGAGAGATAATTTTCATTGCCCTGATCTGTTCATAGTTTGTGCACAAGAGCAATCAATGTAAGGTTAATACCAGCCACAGACTTGAAACCAGCTGTAAGGGATCCAAATAATACATTTCCTCCTGAACTACTATCTTCTCCACAACTTTGTTTAAAATGGGGAGACTGGAATTATAACAGTAATTATCCAACATTCAAAATGGATGTAATTTTTACTGCTTGCTTCCTTCTCCATGATATATATAGTGGTGACAAATGGAAAGATTACAGGTGAAGCAGCTGGCAAATACACCTGTAGTGTTGGGGTATTAGTTATTCTACAGCAATTTCTAATGTGAGGGAAATGGTGTAGTGACTGTAACAAATCAGCAAGCAAGCTTGATGTTATATTTCTGATAAAAAAATCATCTCTGCTTCCTTATCAACCTGGACATCTATTAAAATTGTGGATAGAAAGAGAAACAATATTACCTCTGGTGCATTATATAGGTTTCATTAAAGTTCTTGGGTAGCCAGCTCTCTGTTTGACATAGTGTTTTTCTTCTTGTTTAATTTAATAGGCCCACACAGACTCATTAAACACCCTTGTGGCTTTACACCAGCTCTACCAATATACTAACAAGTACTATGATGAGGTAAGCTTCCACCACTGAGTTTGTTTTATTATTATTCTGTACAAAGTCATAAGGTGGGTAAGATCTAACAAGCTGATTTGCCTCCAAGCTGATAATTTCCTGGCTTATTGGATGCTTGGTTTTTACCAAGAGACTGTAATTCATGCAGGGCAAATATACATCTTTAAAGCATATTCAGAAGAATCCCATCTCTAAATATATAAATAAAATCTGTATGGGATTTTATACAACAATAGTAATAGCATTTAGACTTATATACCACTTCACAGTGTTTTTACAGCCCTCTCTAAGCAATTTACAGAGTCAGCATATTGCCCCCAACAATCTGGGTCCACATTTTACCAATCTCGGAAAGATGGGTTAACCTTGAGCCCGATGAGACTCGAACTGCCAAACTGCTGTCAGCCGGCAGTCAGCAGAAGTAGCCTGCAGTACTGCATTCTAACCACTGCACCACTAGGGGTCTCAAATGAGTCTAGGACAGAGGTCCCTTTGGAAACCAGGACCAGTGGAGAGAGGTTTTTCTGCAGACTGGAGGGGGCGTGGTTTTGTGTACTGCCTGCATCCTGCGGATGGGGCTTTGCTTGTTTGTGTGGACCAGTTGCTGGCATGCCATCGTCCAGTACATTGGAGACCCCTGGTCTAAGACCTTCAGGCATTGACCCTTGGTCATGCCTCTTTCTCCTCCCTCCTTCTGTTTCCACCCATTTGCCTACAGTGTTCCTTCTCCACTGGCCCTTCCATATCCATTCTCCTTGGCCAATGGGCCCCTTGCCCTCTGCCCCATGCCCTTCAGCCTGGCCTTTTTGCCAAGGTCCCCTTTGTCCCAGGCCTTTGGCTGCACAGGATAGATAGCCACCAGGCAATTGAGTGGGTGGTAGGCAGAAGCCATGGTGCTGCAGAGGGCAGCGTGCGATGGGTGATCGCAGGGGCTGTGTTGTAGGGCAGCAAGTGAATGGCACTGGATTAGCTTCTCCAATTGCAGGAGGTCGGGGGTGCACAGGAGAATGGCAGTGCCAGCACAGCTTCTTCAATTGCGGTGGGTGTGCAGGTGAATGGCAGGGCCTCAGCAATTACGGGGGGGGAGGGGGCACAGGCGTATGGCAGGGCTAGCATAGCTTCAGTGGTTGTGTGGGAGCGCAGGCAAATAGCACTCCAGCTTGACACACAATGGGGAGTTGGCCTGCTGCCCCATGGCATGCCCCCTCCTCCTCCACAATGGCAGAAGCCGTGCCAGCATCGTCTGCCTGCGCACCCATCCTCTCCCCCTGCAATCACTGAAGTTGTCTGGCCCTGCCATTCGTCTGCGCACCCACCACAATTGTAGAAGCTGCAGCAGCACCATTTACCTGCTATCCCATAACACAGCCCATCCCATGCTGTTCTCCCTGCAGCACCATGGCTTCTGCCTGCCACCCACACGACTGGCTGGCGGCTATCTGTCTCTTGTAGCCAAAGGCCTGGGACAAAGGATGCCTCGGTGAAAGAGCCAGGCCAAAGGGCATGGGATGGAGTGCAAGGGGCCCAATGGCCAGGGAGAATAGGCAGGGGAGGGCCAGCCAAGGAGAAACACTGGAAGTTAATGGGCAGAGGCAGGAGGCGAGATGTAAAAGAGGCGTAGCCAAGGTTGGGAGCCTAAAGGTCCCATTCCATCTCAAATATAGCAGATTTCCTAGCTATATTAAACAAGAACAGTGATGAGTTTCTTATTAACAAAATGTCCAGGAAGCCTCACATGTCACAAACCTGGCTTACCATCCTTGAAGTAGATAGAGAATACATTTTGCCATCCATTTGATAGTAGTTTCTTCTCATACATTTTGAAAATCTCACTGTCTCTTGTCTGCTCACAATGAGGAAAATGGCTCTGCAGATTCATAATACCAGGGAAGGTTTTTTCTGGTTAATAGATAGTACTCTTTAAAACCCTTGGAATGTATTTCTCCAGAAATACTTATAGGATCATATTGTAATATCTTGACTTGAATGTTCTCCCTTTTATTTATTTTTTAGATTATAAATGCACTAGAAGAAGACCCAGCTGCACAAAAAATGCAGCTTGCTATTCGATTACAGCAAATAGCAGCTGCTTTAGAGCATAAAGTGACTGACCTTTGATTTGAAAGCTGCAATAAAAAAGTCTGATATGAAGATGTGTAAATTCATTCTCCCTAATAAGAAAATAGTGTTCTATTTTTTAATGTGTAATTACAATTTTAAATGAAAAAACAAAAGGCTCCTTTTTTATATAGAACCACTGTAATGTAAAGAGTTTTTACTGTAAATTATGCTTCTAATTAAAATCTTGTGTGGTGTATAAATGAATTTCCAGAGGGACATGGGGGAGGTCCATAGGGGGAGGGAAGGGTGGGGGGAGTTATACTCATTTAATCAAATAGTACAATTTTTGAAACATCTGCGTTTTTTTAGAAGTCATTATGCTAGTAAAATCACTACCTATAATTTCTTTATATTTTAAGCAATATTTGTACTAGAAAAAATAATAGCATATTGGAAAAATAAATGCAATATCCCCTTTTAATTTCAATAACTGGAAATAGCTTTTTTCCCTCTTTTTTTGAAGAAACAGTCATCAATCTTCTGCTTTTGAGGAGGATATAAACAATTTAATTATGATGACTTTCCTTTTAGGAGATTGCAGTGGATTTGGGTACCATATTTCTTTTACATTCATGTGAATATTAAACGCGAAAACATGTGGTTGTAACTACTGCCCCCAAACCCACTTTTTCACAGTCTATGGAGATGAAGTTATAGATCTATTGTGATGGTTTGGTTTTTTATCTTGGAAGGTGTCTACAAGTCTCTAAGAACATAACTTTCAATCTTATGTGCCAGCTTTAGCATACAACACAAATACTCAAACTCTGGAAGATGTTTACATTCCTCAGTAGGAAATAGATGAAATCCCAAGGTACTTCTAAAGAGCCAAACTTGATCCTGTGTATCATTGGCACAAAAGGGAACCAGAAAGACAGAATCTTTTTCTCTGACTTTTAGGAAAGTGATTGTTATGCATGTGAACCTACTGTTACATTTGGAATCTGCAATACGCACCATGGGCACTTACCTTTAGGGCATAGTTTTAGCTGTGTCAAGGATAATGCAATGTACAAGGTTGCTTTTTTGGCTTAACAAGTATCCAAGATTCAGAAATACCTGGATCTGGATTAGGCTCTTCTTATTCTCAGACCATTTCTTAAAATCTCTGATAAAAAGTACAAACAACAAATTCTGTTTGTTCAAATGTTTCTGAAATCAAACTGGTTTTTCTTTTTTCTTTTTTTTAATTGTTAATTATTATATATGCTAATGTGCCTTACTTGTACTAATTATGTGGATCTGAATGGTTTTGTAAAGAGAATCATATCAAAAATATTTATGTGTGGTTTGATGATTTTTGTGAGAAACTTTGACTAGCAGAATGCCTGTAATTAGCTTTTTGCCAATAATGTGCAGTTTGGCCTGATTCAAATATGTGTATCTTTCGTTGGAATGGTTCATAGGATTTTTAAAATGAATTTTCACATTATCCTGGAAGATTGCTATTAAATTGTTTTAAAACATGAATAGAAACAAAGAACATCCTGTGTCTGAAATATAAAATACTAATTGTAAAGAAATTCCATGCCTTGTCCAGGATAAACACTATCTGAGCCTTGGAAAACTGCAATGAATAGAATCATTACCTTTGCAGTGGAATTAAAGTACCTTATTGAATACTGTGTGTGTACAGTATTAGCTTATAGGCAAGTTTATAAAACTTGATATGTAATCTTAAAATGCTGTGTTACACTTATATACATACATAAGCAATGTCAGTTACATTTATTTTTCACAATAAGATCAATTATTTTGGCCAATTCAATAGCATTTTCCAGGTAGCACTGTCCTTTGGTACCTTAAACTTACTTTGCTCTTAACATGATAATAATTTTATTTGCTACCTCTCTGTGTATTGGAGTTGAATTCTGCTTTTCTCTTGATGTCAGTTTTAAAATGTATTTTATTAATCTTTTGATTTCTGTAGTGAATTACAGGCAGTATTGGCTGATGACAATGTTCATTGCCTACTGTAGGGGAATTGCAGAAGCAAAAGAGGAAACAGCATACAGCTTTTCTTGTTTTTTTATTTTCTTACACTGTATGCACACCTTAGCATATGAAATTATGAATTGTTTGGATGAATATACCTATGAATTCTGGGTCAAGCTAAGCTTCTTTTACTCGCCTTCTGACTGATCAACAAACCTGCTTACCTGCTTTGTTTTGTTATTGTTTGTAAATCCTGTTAATTGTAAATCAAATACAAGGGGTTTTTGTTTTCCACGGTGTTTTCCTTGAATTTTTAAAGTTTCTTTTTTAATTCTTTTTTAAAAATAGATCTTTGAATTGGTTTTTCATTAAGATTCCTCTGTAACTGTTAGTGTGTAGTAATGCGTCAGAAAAAAATACCTCTAGTTATTAAGCTGGGGAAGAGTTTTATATTAACGGCCAGAATCTTCAAAAAAGACATGACCCTTAGATCCTTGAATAGATAATTTAAGCGGAAGCTGAGCTGCCTCCCAAACTACTTCTTCAAGTGTAGGTGGTATTCAGTATGCTGATTCATTTAATTGTGTTTTCTCTAAATCATCACCATAGGCTTTTTGTGATAAATTCCAGATAAAGATGTGTGTTAGAGTTTGACTCAATATTTTCTGTTTATGTCTTACAACATTTAATGCAATTACTAAAACAAAATTCTGCAAAACTGTACAATCCCAGAACTTTCCCAGGATTTCAGTGGAATCAGTTAATAACTTTTTATGTTTGGTCCAAAGAACAGCTAAATTCTGAAATCCCATATTCCAGCCAGTGACTGAAAGGAGACTACATGCGCAATGAATATTTTGAAAACTAAATCTATCTTTCTCAACAGGCAATTGTAATTTATATAAGGAAAAACTCATAGGAAATTGGTGCTGATACTGAGTACTCTTATTAAAATAATGCATTTCACATCTTTGAAGAATTGAAAATCACAATTCAAAGCAGCAGCAACAGCCCACAAACTGGTATAAATTCTGAGTATTACTTAACAGTAGGAAGTAATCCTTTTCTAAAATAAAAGGAAGGGAAGGTTGAACGGCAAATGAAGATCTCTTTTTTCTATCGTCCCTGTTTTGGGTTTGCTCATAAGATTGCATTGTGATGAAGCAATATAGTTGCTTTGATGAAAAAAGGAAGGCAGAACTCTTGAAGCAGATAGAAAATTTGCCTTCAAAATTTTTATAAGAGTGATCTGTAATATTATGGCATTCTTAGTATTTGTCTGTTTTTAAAATAGTGATCAGGAGCAAACAAACAAACAAAAACAGAAACATAAGGGATAAACCTTTTAGAAATTTGAGGAAGCATCTCAACTGCTCAGACTAGGTCCAGTAATCTTATATTTATATATCAGATTATGAAACTCAGCTAATCCAGATTGGGAAGTTTGAGAAGAAATGGACTTCAGAAACTAAGGAAAAGGGGATTCAAAGTTTGCAGTAATAAGCTTCAGTTTTAGGTTAGCAACATTATTTTGCATCAAAATGTCGATAGCCTGAACAGCAGCTTATTACTACTCATTTTAAAATGCTGTTTTAAAAATAATGCACAGAATTATAAAGTGTACTGTTAGAAGTAAGGTCTTCATCCTGGTTCATCCAAGCCGGGAATAAATAAGCAAACATGGTGACTGCTTTGGGAAGAAGGTTACAGTTTATTGCAGAAAGATGGTTCTTCAGGAAAGTGCAGAGGAGAGAGAAGGGAGAGCACAGAGAGAGATTGAGCACATGGGCAGTAGGTTTTATACCCCCCCTAGCCTTTTGTTTGGAATAGTTTCCTGTTCCTGTGGCATGAACCTTGAGACTGTTTCTGAGTGTTTGTCTAGGCCTTGATATCTGTGGTTTAATTCTGTTATCATATCCTGCTTCCCAGGTGATGGGGCTGACTCCTAGAGTTTGGGTGGGGTATGCAGATCTTCTCTTTTGTCTTCTTGATTGCTCTAGCTCCAACTTTCTGATGGTTTTACATTTGCATTTGTATGGGCTAAAGTCTTGCTTGGGGCAGAGAGATAGATTTGGGGCCAAGTTTGGTTTTAAAAAGTCCTTTTGAGGAAAAATATATTTTTCTGCCCTTTTTAATATTTCCTTCTGGGCTAACTTTCATCAATCCCCCGCTTTGTGCCTTAAGTGTGTAAATTTATGACACACTTATTGGCACAACATTAAAATTGATCTGGTCAGGGAGACTTGGTAGGCAAGCTTTTAAACTGTTAAGCAAAATAATAATAATAATAAGACATTAATGGAGGCAGCAGAAAAAGATCCCTTTAGTGGCTCCCAAAAGGGGAGCTTGCACCCATAAAGTTCTAAAAGTCAGGGCAAAATTTTGTTAGATAGAAATTTATAGTGTCCAATATTCTGTGCCAATCATTTTCAAATGTTGGATATCACCTTTAGCTTCCAGTCAGGTTTGCATACCCCCCAAAATTCTTCACAGCCATGGTTCTCCTTAGTACATGACCACTGGCTGCCCAGTTTCAAGGGTTGTTTCCTGCCTTAGCTCTTAATTCAGTGCATCCAGGTTTGTAATGCCCAATTGCCAGGCTATTAAATTGTCTTTAAATTGCACATACTGAGCTCTAGGAATCCCAATCTGGGCTCACCGTGCAAGATATTCAGGGCTGAAGTTTGGGATCTTTCCTGTTGCTTCCTTAGTCAGGGCATATGAATTGCAAATTACCTGAGGGGGCTTGGTTCCCTCCCCCTTGGAATCTGTTGGAAGTTGGTCCCACAAAGCTTTGGTGCAATAGAGCAAAAATCAGCCTGAGGAACTTTACTAAAGGTAGGTGGAGGGGATAGACTCTGAATGGTGTGAATGGTGTATGTGTGCATATGCAGCTATTTCTACAAAACATGCAATACAAACATTCTGGAAAAGTTTTCCCTCCCACCAGATAGAAGTCCAAGGTGTTCAGTACTTGTTCTGCCACCTATTCCCAAGTGCCATCTCTCCACTAATACATTCAACTGGCTTGTTACAATACAAATGGGGCAAGAAAGAAAAGTTTACAATGAGTTTCCGCCCTCTCCCCACAGTCT